AGGTTTCAATAAAGACACATGAAAAGAGTTAGGGATGTGTAGAGTAGGAGGTAGATCCAGCAAATAAGAAACCGGGTTGATCCTCCTCAGCACCCTGTAAGGACCAATGTAACGAGGAGCAAACTTCAAGGAAGGAACTTTCAGGCGAATGTGTCTGGTACACAACCAGACCCTATCACCCGGAGAAAAAATAGGAGCAGGCCGCCTACGCCTATCAGCATGTGACTTAAACACCGCGGAACTACGTTCAAGAATTTGTCGAGTCTGATCCCACAACTTTCTCAGGTTGGCTATATGAATATCAACCGACGGTATACCCTGGGAAGGAGACACCGACGGAAGAACAGTAGGGTTAAAGCCATAGTTCAAGAAAAAGGGGCTATTACGAGTGGAACCACAAACAAGGTTGTTGTGAGCAAACTCCGCCCAAGGAATCAGACCGACCCAGTCATCCTGGTGTTCAGAAACAAAACAACGTAGATATTGCTCAATTTTTTGGTTAGTGCGTTCGGCTGCTCCGTTAGATTGAGGATGATAGGCCGAAGAAAAATTCAGTTTGATGCCCAACTGGGAACAGAAGGATCTCCAAAAACGGGAAATAAATTGGGAACCCCTGTCTGACACAATCTCATTGGGAATACCATGTAAACGGAAAATTTCTCTAGCAAATATCACGGCCAGTTCAGGAGAGGACGGAAGTTTAGGCAAGGGAATGAAATGAGCCATTTTAGTAAACCTGTCAAGGACCGTGAGGATAACCGTATGCCTACTGGAAGCTGGTAGATCAACAATAAAATCCATAGCCAAACAAGCCCAAGGTTTGTTGGGAACGACTAAGGGCTGCAATAAACCACAAGGGAGATCCCGCGGAAGTTTATTCCTGACACAAACATTGCAAGCCTTGACAAAGTCTTCCACATCCCTACGTAAACCGGGCCACCAGAAGTCTTTGGAGATCAGGCAGTAAGTTTTGTGGATGCCGGGGTGACCAGCGAACTTGCTATCGTGAAAACAGCGAATAATGTCCACTTGGAATTTGGGAGACACGAACAAGCGGCCCACAGGAGTACGTTCGGGAGCAAGAGATTGTTCGTTCATAATATCAGCGAGCAATGGAGAGTGTATTTTGACATTGGTGTTGGCGATAATATTGACTTCAGGAATAATAGGGAACAAAGTGTCCTCTGTAGAGGTGATAGGTTCGTGCTGACGTGACAAAGCGTCTGCCTTAGTGTTCTTAGAACCAGGCCTGTAAGTAAGCATATAATTAAAGTGTGTAAGGAACATAGACCAACGTGCCTGCCTGGCAGATAATCTTTTGGCCTCCCCCATATACGATAAATTTTTGTGGTCAGTCAAGATGGTAACTGGGAGGACAGTGCCCTCTAACAAATGTCTCCATTCCTTTAATGCCATAATGATAGCTAAAAGTTCTCTATCACCAATGTCATATCTCCTTTCAGTGTGTGATAGTTTCTTGGAAAAAAAACCGCAAGGGTGCAGCGGCTTATCTAAACTTTGTCTTTGGGACAACACTGCGCCTATCCCTGTTTCAGACGCATCAACTTCAAGTAAAAAGGGTAGAGAGGTATCAGGATGAACTAATACAGGTGCTGAGGCAAAAGACTGTTTGAGCGTTTCGAAAGCAGATAAAGCCTCAGTAGACCAGGTTTTGGTATCGGCTCCTTGTTTGGTCATATTAGTGATAGGAGCGATAACAGAGGAGTACCCTTTAATAAAACGTCTGTAATAATTAGAAAATCCAAGAAATCTTTGTATGGCTTTGAGTCCCTTAGGTAAAGGCCAATCTAAAATCGATTTTAGTTTGGTCGGGTCCATCATAAACCCGTCTTTGGAAATTACGTAACCTAAGAAAGTTACCTGAGACTGGTCAAAGCTACATTTTTCCAATTTACAATACAATCCATGTTGTAAAAGTTTCTGTAATACCTTTCTGACTTGTCTATGATGTGAATTAATGTCTCTAGAATGGATTAGTATATCATCCAAATATACAATTACACATTCATGTTGGAATTCTCTAAGAACTTCATTGATCAAGTCTTGGAAGACGGCCGGGGCGTTACAAAGCCCAAACGGCATTACGGTATACTCATAATGCCCGTAACGGGTATTAAATGCTGTCATCCATTCATCTCCTTGTTTAATTCGCACTAAGTTATATGCTCCTCTCAAGTCAAGTTTGGTAAAAATACTCGAGCCCTTTAGTCTGTCAAAGAGTTCAGTAATCAAAGGAATAGGGTAAGCATTCCTGATAGTAATTTTGTTCAATCCCCGATAGTCTATACAAGGACGTAAGGTACCGTCTTTCTTTTCTACAAAAAAGAAACCTGCCCCCGCCGGAGAAGAAGACTTTCTAATAAATCCTTTGTCTAAATTCTCCTTGATGTATTCCTCTAAAACTAAGTTTTCCTTGGTGGATAGAGGGTATACCGTACCCCTGGGAGGCATAGTACCAGGGAAAAGTTTAATAGAACAGTCATAAGACCGGTGGGGAGGTAAAGTATCCGCCTTACCCTTGTCAAATACAGATTTGAGGTCTAGATATTGTAATGGTATCTGAACGTCAGTGGATTGAGAAGTGTTAGCATAAGAGTTTACGGGGCAAACAGAAGTAACTCTCTGCAGACATGCTTTCCTACAACCCATACCCCAAGAAACGATTTCTCCACCCTCCCAGTCAATCTGAGGGTTGTGTCTCTTGAGCCAAGAATATCCTAGTACTACTGGGACTGCCGGGGAGGAAATTAACAGAAGGGAAATCAACTCCTCGTGGAAAATACCAACAGTAAGCTTAACGGGTTCGGTCTCATGGAATATTATTGGTTCAGATAAAGGTCTACCATCTATGGCCTCAACGGCCAAGGGTGTATCTCTCAGTTGGAATGGGATACAATGCTTATTAGCGAAAGTTTGGTCTATAAAGCTTTCTGCTGCTCCAGAATCTAATAATGCCATCGTAGAAATAAACCCCTTTTCCCAAGCTAGAGAGACAGGAATCAGAAGCCTATGGTCTTTTTTATTATGCATAGAGGACAGTAATGAAACACCCAAGGCCCGTCCTCTAAGGGAACTTAGGTGCGAGCGTTTCCCGGACGATTAGGGCAACTAAGACGTAGGTGACCTCTCAGCCCGCAGTATAAACAGAGACCCTCCCTTCTTCTGTACTGTCTCTCAGCCTCAGATAAGCGAGTATTACCTATTTGCATAGGTTCTGGTGGAGTAGGATTATAGGAGTCAGGGTTCTGAAATGAGGGAGCGAGTCTTACAGGAAGTCTAGTAACTCTTTCCCGAGTGTTCTGCCTCTGTCTCATGCGTTCATCTATTCTGGAAATGAAGGATACTAAATCCTCTAAATTTTCCGGAAGTTCTCTTGTGGCAATTTCATCTAGAATTTCATCAGACAACCCATTCAAGAATACATCCATAAAAGCTTGTTCGTTCCATTTCACTTCTGCTGCCAATGATCTAAACTCTAGAGCATATTCTACAAGGGTCCTATTCTGTTGTTTAAGGCGTAACAGGGATCTGGCCGCATTAATCTTCCTTCCTGGGGGGTCAAAGGTTCTTCTAAAAGCCGTGACAAAAGCAGTGTAGTTGTAGACTAAAGGATTGTCATTCTCCCAAAGGGGATTGGCCCATCTAAGTGCTTTATCTATTAGCAGGGTTATAATAAAGCCTACCTTAGCCCTGTCAGTGGGGTAAGCCCGGGGTTGAAGTTCGAAATGTATGCTTATCTGGTTTAAAAAACCACGACAAGCATCAGGCGAACCCCCATATCGTAATGGTGAAGTGACATGGGAAGATGCGCCTACAGTGGCTACTTCCAAACCAGTACTTAGCGAGTGGCTAGCAGTGGAACGTATTTCTTCAGACTGGGTACTGGAGCGTGTTAACAAAGTTTGTAATGCTAAAGCCATTTGGTCCATTCTATGGTCCATGGCCTCAAATCTGGGGTCAGGAGGACTAGCACCTGCAGGATCCATCATGGCCCTGTCGTAATGTCAGGATACTGACAGGGATCCAATACGCAGAGTGCGGACAGAAGGAGGTACGTATACCGGACCTTAGAATGGCCGGACTAACGTAGGGACAAAGCAGAATAGTCAAAAGGTAAGCCGAGGTCGAGGGAGCCGGAGGACAGGTAAGCGAGATACAAGCCGAGTCAAAGGAGAGGAGAGGACAACAGGACAAAAGACAAGCAAGGGTCAAAACCGGAAACACAAGATAAAGAACGCGCTGAGTGACTAGCAAGCTAGAACCACGACAGGGCAATGAGCAGTAGTAAAGGTTTCCTTTAAATACCCTGTACCTAAATAGAGACCACGCCCCCAAAAGGTCCGGAATAGCGGTTCCCGGCACTTTATGCAAATGCCGACGTCATGACGTCGACGCTAGCCGTCGCGTCATAAAAGGGGGAGGAGCTAGCGCGGCCGGCGCGAAAACGGCCGGAATATGCCGAAAATGCTAGGGGCAGGGAGCCCCTAAACAGAGAGGATGTCTTCCCTGGATTCAGCACCAACAGGTACCCTGACATACACTTCCTGTATTGAAAATACGGTTTAATTTAAAATTTCTTATCTCCTGCTCTGTTAATAGCTTTCTAGACCCTGCAGAAAACTCTTCTATGTAATTAAAGTTCAATTTACAGAGCAGGAAGTGGATGTGAAGCTCGGGAACACACCAGAGTGCATCCAGCGGGCGCCTTGAGTTTGCAGCAATTTATTTTATACTTTTTAGTTTGTTACTGTGTGTGTAGACAGTTAGGGAAATACATAGTATAAAGAAGTACAGGAAGAGTATGAAACAAGGAGATGGTTAAGATTATCAAGACTTTAAAAATAGATTTTGCCCATGAACGGAGATGCATGACCTCATATTTTAAAAAGATCTTTCAACAAGTTGCAACAAAAATAAATAAAAGAAAGCCCTTTTAAAAAAAACACAGACATTCTAAATTAAGGGTGTATATTTTATTTGCCACATAAAGCAGTTAAATATACAAAAATTAACATTTAAAAAGCAACAAAAACAAATTAACAATTCCAAGCACCTTTCATAAATCATTCTAATCTTTTTTAAATCATTTTTTTTTTCACAAAGGAAATGAGTTATTCCATAATGCTCTGCTAATAAAATATGTTGGATAAGACAATGTATGTGCAACAAGACAGTACAGATAAATTCAGGAGCACATTAACAAAAGGACAGTGTATCAATGTGTCTAGAAATCAGGTTAATCCAACATTAAAGGGATATACACATATATTTAATTATATCAAATAACATTATATGGGATGGTGTGACCATACAAAGTAGAAACAAAAAATATATATATGTGAATTCAAAATCTAAGGACAAACTGTAAGCATTGCTAACATCTGGCTGGCACTTTTTTTCCAGTTCACTATTTTAACCCTTACGTTTGATATCCACTTAGAATTTGCTTTGGATTCTATCTTTAGTGTATAACCCTGTCAGTGTCTGGTTTAAGACATTTAGATGATACCCCCTTTTGGAAGCAGTGAATATGGCCTTTATTCTGTCACTGGCACCTTCACGATAGCATGCCTGCTATCAAGGGCACAGTAGTAAAGGGGACCTGTACAATATGCAATCAGAGCTATGTGTATGTGCATTAATATATACATACGTATGTATGTACATTTTGTATATCCCTTTAAATATGCACAATAAATTGCTTATGGGGGGACATCAAGGTCAAAGACATTAAACCCTTGAAGTCCATTGTCTTTTGCTTGTCTTTGGCACCTATAGTGTTAAAATAAGAGACATAGATCGCTTGATTTTTTTTTTCTTTAAAATTAGGAATTAATGCCCGCATATAAGAAGAAAAATATTAGCGTAACATTAAATGCTGACACACAATATTAAAATATTTGATTTCTACATAAAAAACAGACAGAATGCAGGCGTACATTATCTTCAATCTACAGGACATTGCAATAAATATAATAAATAAAGCATAATTCATACACATATCTTAAAAGGTACAATTAATAGACATAAAAAAACGGTTTCATTTAATGTCACTGTTTTTCTATAACAGCATGTAGAACAGTGATAGGTTATATCTCTACTGAGTGTTGCAGAGGTGTAAGTCCAGAAGCAAAGTAACACCGATACTGAAGCCATACTCAGTACTCCTATATGAGAGGGCTACTAGTTCTGTCAAAGGTTAAATATCTCGCCTGACTTTAGGCATTTCATTTCTTTACTTGTATCCCTTTAAAGACTAAAATAGAATAGAATTTAAAAATCGATTTAGACATTTTCTGCACGCATTTTGCCAAAGGCCAGTGCAAAGTATCGGTGAAATATAAAAGCAGATATTTAAAGACATCCACTGGGCAGCTATCAGATGGATACATACATTGGAGATTATATAGTTATCGACTGGGCATAGCGTGTACAGTGGAGCAATCAGCAGAAACATTCCATTGGTTTCCATGGCATTTACTCAACACTAAGAACCATTGACACTCGCCAAGTAAAACGAAGCATTACTTCCAGTATATTTGATGGATATCTAAGGGCAGTGATTGTGCTTTTATGTGTTAATATGTAATGACAGGCATGTACAGTAGGGAGCGGCAGAAAGTAGGAGCAGTTATTCATTTATACAAGAAAAATTACAGTTACGAAAAAACCCTTCTCTAATACATACAGACATACTTAATCTAGATTTCATGGAATGACTGAAGATTTACTTGTATGTTTTGAAAACGTATTAACCGATCCAGTGTTATTTTTACATACACACACACACATTTCGTACAACTCATTATTTTGTTCGTATTCCTGCTGTACCATGACACGCACACAAAATAACAAAGCATCCCTCTCTTTATTAAACAAAGACAACATTAGCAATAACTGCGGGGTCCTAGGTTGGCCTGAATAGCCATTGCAAGATTTGTTAAACCCTCAGTCCTCATATATAAAATCAGCACTCATTTAAGGCAACAACCCTATGTATTTAATGTGTCGGAAACCATTGCACATAGTCCCATAAGTTTTTTATGTGTTTAAAAAAACAGCTCAACACCTAAAGCTCTAGAAAAAAATAGTTTTATAGCAGTAGGATATCATTCCAATATTAATTAACAATTAGACTTTAACAAAAGAAAATATATACCAACGTTTGTCAGGCAACATTTTACTCAATGGTATTTCGTGGATTTCCTAACCTTTTTTTAATTTGGAAACCAATGTCTCCAGCTCAGATGGAGTTAATATTGAGCAATAAACATTTCTGTTGCGTGCCAGCAAAAAAAAATTACATCTTGTCCGCTCTGCATTTTGCTATCTGAAGTCAGAAAAATGACAGCCACTGGAATAATTACAGGTCATAGACGGAGCTCATATAGCCTCTATTCATCTACAAAACTCTTGCATACACTGCAACTTTACTGAAAGGCTATTAACCAACTGACACTGATGTGCAAAGAGGGATCCAGGCATTCAAGACACATTAGCAGAAAATGATAGGCTTCAATTCACAAGGTTGTAGATTCGATTCTTCAATGACTGCTTATCCGGGCCTGAAACAGGAGATCAATCTCCATAAGACCATATCATTTCTGCAACCTTACCAAAACATCCCTCGAGTTCATATATGAGCAATCAGCTTCGTTAGCATACATGGAACCGTTCTGCGGGCTGACTTTCTCTTCTAGTCTACAAATCTGGACCACAATGCGATCTCACCTCATCAATGCCATTTTAATTGGGCATTTAACTGAATGTCAATATTGTTTTACAACAGGGTTTTTTTTAAGCAGCTATGAAAAGAATCTGTATTCCTTACGCATCTTCACCAAAGTTCTAGGATTGGTTTTACTACATGATCCGACCGCTTTAGAGCATACAGAATATGCATCTAAATAGCTAAACAGAAAGCGTGTAAGGGTCCTCGGTGCACGAGACGGACAGTTTTTAGTGTAATTACACTCTTACAACTGAGATGCCATTTCCTGTAGATCATTCTAAGCTTAACTGAGGGTTGAGGAACGTATTGTGTTTGTGGTCCACAGAGATTATCCAATTCTTACTTGTTTAACGCCTGATTGCAAACAGCGCACACAAACACAGTTTCTCTCTGTGCATCGGGAGCTGGAAAGAAAAACAGATACGTGTTTGCTTTGTCTTTTCACCATTTATCATATTATCCATGTCACTGCCCGCACTTTATCACAATGAGGTATTTCAGACACCACTGCTCCCAAAACCACCACGAGAGGAATATGTTGAGCATTAACAGTGCAGTTTATATCATAGTATTGCAAATAAAATACTGCTTAGCAACTTTCAACATTTTTTCAGTAGATAAACCATGCCCTTTCCTTGTATACTCAATGCATATAGAAATTATTATTAAAACCTATTGTGATTACCGTAACATGCAAACCTTTTCACGTATAGATTTGAGCATGCTACAAGGAACATGCTCAAATCTATACGTAAAAAGGTTTGCATGTTACGGTAATAGAACAGCAGGAATTTTACTGACCAGATTTTGCATATTTTTACTCCACATTGATAATAAATAATATCACATATATGTAACACTTGTTTTTAAATATAGTTTTTATTGAGATTTATTTCTTTGCAGAGGACCACGCGGGGCCCGTAGTTAGAGAATAACAAAATGATCATGTCTTACAACCTATCGCATATAGTTACATTAATGGGTACAGGCATTATGGTCATGACAGTGTTAATGATGACAATACACCATCAGGCCTGGAAGATGTGATATAAGACCATTTAGTACCCTACTATCAACATGTTAAGAGAAGAAAACATATTGTATCCCTGCAGTAGTGTGAGTCACCAATTTCAGCTTAGTAACCCTAGGTCCGAAGACCTCCCAAGGCATGCAACTTGCTGCTAGTGTTAGGTAGCATAATAAGGCTTGGCATAACATCGGGTCAGTTTTTATGTAAATATTTGTCTTTAAAACACTATGAAGGCACCTTAATCCACTCATTCATGAATCAAATAATGCACATTATTTCTCCGTCATAAACCGCAAAAAAGCCTAACTTCGCCTCCTCTGTGGGCAAATTGCACGGATGCATCGCAACTCCTCTTAGTGAGTTTGCAATCAGTACAATTCTTTATATACTATTATATAGGGATATTATAGTAATACTGAGTTTATTATTTTCTAGTAGTCCTCTTTCTGAATGGAAATGGCAATGTATATCTCAGATGGGCGGTACCTACCTGTGGCTCCCATAACAGATTTTGGAACTTTGAAAGAACAGCATCTCGAACAGAAACTATTTCCGCAATTACTACAGCTTCGCTGTTGGGAGAAGAATGAAAGCAAATCATTAAAAGCCTATTTTGGTTCCGACTGTGGTTGATGTTAGATTATCCATTATTTTCCATTTATTAGACAGTACTAGAATATACAATTAAATTATCTGTCTGCAACATTACATTACATTACATTACGGTGCTTAGAGCACCACAAGCCAACAGTGACCTGAGTCTAACAGCAAAGTGAGAATTCAAAGTGAATTTCAAAATTAAGATCAAAATAGTCAAACTGTAAAAATTATCAAAGTCAGTTCAGCTACTCTGACCTTACATTTTAAATTTACTTTAAAATGTCACTTTTGTGACTAGCCATCTACACTGAACAAAATTATAAACACAACACTTTTATTTTTGCCCCCATTTTTCATAAGCTGAACTCAAAGATCTAAGACTTTTTCTATGTACACAAAAGGCCTATTTCTCTCAAAGCCTTACATATCAAAAGCTATACCAAATATTCAAAAGTTGTGCAGAATCAAAAAATATAAATAAATCAACATCTGAACAAGTCGTAAATCATCGCTCATTGCTTAAGAGAATCAGAAAAAAAACTTGTGTTCTCTACAGCTTTCTGCAGTTTTTAATAAGTTATAAAACTCCTTCTTTCTTTAAATCACACATAGAGTTAAGAGACATAAAAAAAATTAAAAATAATAATCTTAAATAGTTTTGGAAACTTCAATTCCTCCTTTTCGTACTATAGCTAGTACACCACAAACACCCAGAAGACAAGAGCAGAACTTAACATTGTATTGCTGGATCTGCCTCAATTAAATTGCCAGAGTTGGAACACAGAGAGAGACTCGGGGATCGCGTATTCAGTAAGAGGCATTTTGTTATTATGTGCTGGTGTTTTATGGATACTAAAACGTGCTATTTTATGGTATTTGATAACATTCTATTTATGTCTTTCACATACTGCTCTTGTCTACATGATCCTTTTTCTGTTACTCTTAATCAATAACCATTTATATTTTGAGGCTTGCAAAATTATGGAGTTTTTAGATTTAGTACAATTTGTTTTTTCTTTTTTTTAAGGGCACAAAATCTGGTAATGTTCATGCACCATGGACACACAGAACGGGGAAGACTCGTTCTTACACTACACTTACACAACAACAAGGCTATGTACAGTCAGGTCCATAAATATTGGGACATTGACACAATTCTAATCTTTTTGGTTCTATACAACAACACAATGGGTTTGAAATGAAACAAACAAGATGTGCTTTAACTGAAGACTTTCAGCTTTAATATGAGGGTATTTACATCCAAATCAGGTGAACAGTGTAGGAATTACAACAGTTTGAATATGTGCCTCCCACTTTTTAAGGGACCAAAAGTAATGGGACAGATTAACAGTCATAAATCACACTTTCACTTTTTAATACATGGTTGCAAATCCTTTGCAGTCAATTACATCCTGAAGTCTGGAACGCATAGACATCACCAGACGCTGGGTTTCATCCCTGGTGATGCTCTGCCAGGCCTCTACTGCAACTGTCTTCAGTTCCTGCTTGTTCTTGGGGCATTTTCCCTTTAGTTTTGTCTTCATCAAGTGAAATGCATGCTCAATCGGATTCAGGTCATGTGATTGACTTGGCCATTGCATAACATGCCACTTCTTTCCCTTAAAAAACTCTTTGGTTGCTTTTGCAGTATGCTTCGGGTCATTGTCCATCTGCACTGTGAAGCACTGTCCAATGAGTTCTGAAGCATTTGGCTGAATATGAGCAGACAATATTGCCTGAAACACTTCAGAATTCATCCTGCTGCTTTTGTCAGCAGTCACATGATCAATAAATATAAGAGAACCAGTTCCATTGGCAGCCATACATGCCCACGCCATGACACTACCACCACCATGCTTCACTGATGAGGTGGTATGCTTTGGATAATGAGCAGTTCCTTTCCTTCTCCATAATCTTCTCTTCCCATCACTCTGGTACAAGTTGATCTTGGTCTCATCTGTCCATAGGATGTTGTTCCAGAACTGTGAAGGCTTGTTTAGATGTTGTTTGGCAAACTCTAATCTGACCTTCCTGTTTTTGAGGCTCACCAATGGTTTACATCTTGTGGTGAACCCTCTGTATTCACTCTGGTGAAGTCTTCTCCTGATTGTTGACTTTGACACACATACACCTACCTCCTGGAGAGTGTTCTTGATCTGGCCAACTGTTGTGATGGGTGTTTTCTTCACCAGGGAAAGAATTCTTCGGTCATCCACCACAGTTGTTTTCCGTGGTCTTCCGGATCTTTTGGTGTTGCAGAGCTCACCGGTGCGTTCTTTATTTTTAAGGATGTTCCAAACAGTTGATTTGGCCACACCTAATGTTTTTGCTATCTCTCTGATGGGTTTGTTTTGTTTTTTCAGCCTAATGATGGCTTGCTTCACTAATGTTGACAGCTCTTTGGATCTCATATTGAGAGTTGACAGCAACAGATTCCAAATGCAAATAGCACACTTGAAATGAACTCTGGACCTTTTATCTGCTCCTTGTAAATGGGATAATGAGGGAATAACACACACCTGGCCATGGAACAGCTGAGCAGCCAATTGTCCTATTACTTTTGGTCCCTTGAAAAGTGGGAGGCACATATACAAACTGTTGTAATTCCTACACCGTTCACCTGATTTGGATGTAAATACCTTCAAATTAAAGCTGAAAGTCTGCAGTTAAAGCACATCTTGTTCATTTCATTTCAAATCCATTGTGGTGGTGTATAGAGCCAAAAAGATTAGAATTGTGTCGATGTCCCAATATTTATGGACCTGACTGTATAAACTGATACAACTGGAGTGGTGCTATTGAAAATCCCTTGCCTCTTAAAGTTTAGATGCACAGAGTTACACTACCAGGAAGTAACAGGACCAGATGTCTGATTGACAAGTTCATTTTGTCATTTCCTATTCGGCTTAGTTGTAAAATGAAAAAAGAAGACACGCTTCACATAAAAACACTTCAGGTAGTTGAAGAGCTTTCTGTGTCTGCAGTTTTATTTTACTAAAATAAAGTAATAAAATATATATATTTTTTTCCCCCTAAAACATATGCTTAATTCCACATGTGAGAAAGGTAGGATTGCCAATTCCCTTGTCATTTTATGTTTAATTCTGAAATGATATATTCAGGTTGCAGTTTGGTATTTTAAACATTATAAAAAGGTGGTTTTAGACATACCCTCTTTTTCAGTACTGAGAAGGTGGCATTGCATCCTGTACACACACCTGCAAAATAAGGAAGGCAAAAAAGATTAAACTAAACTCTGTGACCATGCTATACAGTAATATCTTAGCACTGTACGTGTTTCAGAGTAAAATGAATGAAGAATTTGCATCATGTTGTGTGCTTTGTCTTGTGGTGCTTCTCAATGCAGTCAAGGCACACCAATGGTCCTGGTCCTGTCAACATCTTCATTGTAACAGAATTGAGAAATGCCTAAATCTTAGACTGTCGAGAACTACATTTGGAACCACTGGTCTAGTGACAGCTACTAAAAAGCCTACTCATTGACAGCCGCTAGAGGCGTTTGCGTGCTTCTCACTGTGAAAATCACAGTGAGAAGACACAAGCATCCATAGGAAAGCATTATGAATGCTTTCCTATGAGACAGGATGAATGCGCGCGCAACTCCTGCCGCGCATGCGCATTCAGCCGAAGAGGAGGATCGGAGGCGGAGAGGAGGAGGAGAGCTCCCCGCCCGGTGCTGGAGAAAAGGTAATATTTAACCCTTTCCTCTCCCCAGAGCCCGGCGGGAGGGGGACCCTGAGGGTGGGTGCACCCTCAGGGCACTATAGTGCCAGGAAAAGGCACATTATAGTGGTCCTTTAACCCTTTACGTTAAACACCTGATCCTGGCTTCTTTGGTACATATAAAGATAAAAAGCACATTATATGGGTAGAAATTAGTTTTTTGGTAAATACTCCAATGATGCACAGCTAGGTGACTGTGGTTCTTGATCTGTAACAGTTTTTACTAGCGGTGTAACCAAGTATTGAAACTATATAGGGGACTAAAAGTTTCCTTCCACCCATCCCTCTTTATTACCATTATGGAGGGCTTATTGAGTACAGTTATATTGTTCCAACTTATTCAGCAGCACTAATGGTTTCCTCTCATCCCTAATTCCTTTCCAATACCTGCCCAGGTACCGTCCTTGGTGTTTCAGTGAAATAGAGGAAACTATCTAAGCTGAATAGGTGTAACTTGTGTTTACACAAGATGCCTCACTATCACTGCTGGGGTAAATCTTGGCAAAGAAACTGCATTAGAGAGATCTGCACCAGAGGAGAGATATCACAGCTCCTTCCTAATAAATTCCATCCAGAAGAGCAGTTTTGTCAATGGCAATCTTCCTGCAAACACGTGTGAAGACCCTGTACACACTCACATTAGCCAAGTCTCACCTGCACCTTTAAGAAAAACATCATACATAAAACAGTATTTTACTGGAGTCCTGCTCTCATATGGCATTTATCATCATTTTAGCAGGGAGGAGGAATGTGACACTTTGAAAGCATTAACTGAATGCTATGGTGAAGTCACAAGAAATGCGTCATTTATATGTTTGTCACAAACTTCTGGCTTCTGTCATTTGGGTGTCTGACAAGTTATCCCTGAGCAGGCATTACATACAAACACCGAAAGCAAATATCCTAACCTGCCGTGATATTCTTCAGACTCTGCTACAGAACAGTGGGGCTTTAAAGAGGGTCATTTCTTCTTCCATCAACAAAAATAAAATTAAAATAAAGGCACTGATTGAGCGTGTAATGAAAACCAGGAATGGTCCGAGAAAAACAGACTTTCAATAAAGCACTTACTCAAATCCCAACATTTTTCCCTGTAATTTATCATTTACGCTTTACCTATAGCCATTAGAATTTATCGAGTGCATAGTGACATCATCACACAATGCTGCAATTCACCCTCTTGTTGATGGAGTCATGTGTTTGTGAAACTTACAGGGTTTTATTCACTAAACACCAACTGCAAAATTTAGAGAAAAAAAAAAGTGCTGATTATTTTGTCTTACATGATTATAAATACCACCAAAGTGTCCCTGTTTAGAAGGGACAGTCCCTATTTTGAGCCCAAATCGCCCTCTTTTCTAGGAACTCCATATTGCTGGTGTGTGAGTGTACAAGAGCAATAATACACCTAGTTATGTGCCTTTAAACTACAACGATTGTGTTTAAAAATCAGTCTGTGTAAATAAGATACATTGTTTTGTTATAAATTGCATTTTAGTTCCATAAATTGTCCTTAGTAAATCACCTTTGACTTTTTAGAACAGCACCAAAGATTGGTGTAAAGATTCTGGCCTTGTTATACACATTCCTCGTACAAAAATTAATAAATAAAAACATGATGATTTGGAAGCATCTTCAACTCAGCTACAGTCACAATGTGGTCATTCGGATTTGACTTCCGTACCATTCATTAGTGAATACACTCCTATATATTAATGTCACTCTGCACAAAATGTGTAGTTAATCCCATCCAATAATAATCCAATACACTGCCGATCACTTTTGACTTAAACTTTGTTTTTCCTGACACCAAATTCCATTTTATGGGTTTTCTAGGAATGTAACCAGATTTTCTGGCCACCACGCAAGCACAGCTAGTTGTGATCTACGCAACACGCAACATCCAAGTTAAGCCATGTACTTGAGCCGCAAGGTTTGAAGCAGATGTTGCTGAACTTCAACATGATTCTATGAATTAAATAGATAGGCTGAGAATCATGGGAGTTGTAGTTCAGCAACATCTGGAGGGACGGAGTTTGGTGAAGCCTGGTTTAAAGGGATACTATAGTGTTAGGAATACAAGTCTGTATTCCTAGCACTATACTTCCGTGTGGGCTCCCCCTCCCTTGCACCCCCCTCCACCGGAACTGTAACTTTTTATAATACCTTAGTGTACTTAAATGATTCCAGGGCCAATTTCCCTCAGTACCACCCGACGGGCAACGCTAATGAACACTAAATTCCTATGGGAATTTTTCTGACAGTGAAAGTACTCATGTAGAGCGCGAGGACGTCCAGCATCAGTTAGGAAACCAAAAGTCACTTAGCAAGCAGGAAGTGTCTCTAGTGGCCTTCTGATTGACAACCACTAGATGCAGTCTTAACCCTGCAATGTAATTACTGTAGTTTTTCAGAAACTGAAATAATTAACATGGCAGGGTTAAGGGGACAGAGTCACTGCACCCAGACCACTTCAATGAGATGAAGTGTCCCTTTAATTATTGGATTGTGCTTGCATTCTGGTCCATTATTCCACTCTAATGATGGACTGGCATGGCGAACATTTGACCAATAAACACACATGCAGACACTTAGCTGCTACATTCAAGTTTGCTTATAATTAGTTATTGCAGAGTTCCAAGGTATAAAAATAAAAGGTAAACGTCAAAAGTTTCTCAAAGACTTGTGAGAATATAAAGGGATGGTAGGTATGAAAGCACATCAAACTGGTCGCAGCAGTTCTTTGTTACAACCCTGCATATCTTCCGCTATATTTAATGTTGAAGTCAGACAGCTTAATTGCTGAAGGTGCGAGATCAAAGACATTGACAATTCTCCATTGTCTACGAATTGCACAAGACCTGTGGGGTTCCACTAATTAAACTCAAGTTTATCTTGAAATTTTGAATACTTCTCAACAGAGATGCTACTGCTTAAGCAGCTTCTATTGTAAACTGCACATAGCAACTGTGACACAATCTGTGTGTAGGTGGAAGAAATTGTCATCCTCTGAATGCCCCCGTAAGACATTGACATGCCATAAACATTTTTCTATTTAGTGCATTATAAATGATATCCCTGTCTTATTTTGATTCAGGGTTTTGCGCAACATTGTCAGAATTCATTGACACGCTTTGTATTTATACATAGTATACAAAATACACTCTGGGGCACATCAATAAACCACCTGTAATAGGCAAGACGGCTGGCAGTTTATGAGTTTTCTACTTTAGCCTCACTACCAAAAGTGACATTTTGTCTTATTTTTTTGTTTCTGATTTAGTTGATATGGGTATGTGGGAACGTTAAGTTTTAGCCTTTGCGGGAATGCCGGTCTCATTTTTTAAAAGAAAAATGACAAAAATTCATAAATACTAAAGTAACTGAAATTCAGCAAAATGGATTATAAGTGCTTTAATTCATGGTTGACATTATGGAAATAATGACACGTCTACAAGTCTGGGATTATTTAGAAAAATAAATAAATTCAGAAAAATAAATGAAAACACCAAAAGTAGGAAAAAATACTTCTTGATAACGCAATCTTAGAGAAATGTTCGTTCAGAAGAGGAATCTTTTTTGCCTTAAAATAAAAAATTCAAAATGATCTAATTCTACTTTCATAAAATGTATTGAAAAAATGTCGGGGGTCATTTTCTACAAACTATTATATAGTATTGGATTTACGAATATAGATCCAATTAACAGCCTTTATTTTATGTTTAATTGACGTTTTTATATATGGATCTAATCATTCACCAGTAATTAATTTCTACTTCCTTTGTTATATGACATTTGACACTTTTTATGTCCTTTTTTTTCTGTACTGGTTTTGACCTGCAATAAAAATTGTAAAATAAAATAAAAAAAATATATAAAAAGGTTTAGAAGGTGGAGTGAAATAGTTATTCTTTTAACACTCTACATTTTACACAGTATAGTCTTGATATATGATTCTTATAAAAGTTTCTCAGAATTTTTTCTCTATTATGGAAATCCTACTCTAAGGCTGGCACATTCCTGTTGAGAGACACGGGAAGATATGCGTGGTAAAGGGGTAGGACTTCAGAATTCCATCTATCATTGGACTCTTCCAATAATCCTCTGTCAGCATGATTCTGGTAGACAATTAAGAGAAAGAGTTGTCCAGTAGAGAGTTGTTGTCCATGATTTTACCTACCTATGTATGTTGGTCTGTATGTGGCTCTCCTAGAATGCAAACTTTAACTATAATATTGCACAACCAGGATACAAATAGCAGTATATTATGTTTTACTGGGTTACGTGAAGAGAGTGCCGGTTGCTGCCAAGAAAGTGTTACCGAGGGTCCAGTTGTGCAATACCGACATGTAAAAAGGAACACATGGAGCCCGTCCAATGTCAATAGGAATCATAAACCTGTATATGAGGGTGGTCATATGCAATAACAAATCAGGACACAAAACAGCCAAACACTGCTGTCCAGGCTTATCAAACCCTGTGGTTCGTGTGGCATTGCGACTACCTTAAGACGGTGGATGAGTTTTGATTTTATATTTTTATTGTGCTGATGTGAGGCAGGGCCAGGGCTGAACTTCCCATTAGGCAGAATAGACACCAACCTACAGACGCCTGTCCACTAGGGGACTCTGCCTGTTAAACTCCCCTCCCTACCTTTTGTTAGCTGTCTGCAGGACTCTAGGATCTCTGCATTCAGTCTGAGGAGCCTGATCTGGGTATGGTTTCAGACCGAAAACTCAGAATTCAAAAGATACACACTCTGTTACCCACCGTGCTGCCCATACTGCAACTAGTCAGCTAAAAAGTATACAAAAAGGAAAATGAGGAGGAAGGGAATGACTTCACCGCTTAGATAATATAAACCTAATACTTATTTGTGGTCAGAACTTAAATAATATATGAAAATAGAGGAAAGGGAGAAAGTTGGTAGTGTTGTGCCAAAACCAACATACAGGCAGGCCTGTAATAAAGAGGGCCCACCAGGGATAACGTAATAATAATAATAATATAGTAGAGGGACTGGTGGGTGGGGTCACTCGAACAGGACACGGCAAAGGTAAGTAGTTTATTTAGGGAAAACTCCTCCCACAAATTCAGCCCTATGGCCTTTTACATATTGACTGCTTAGTCTATTAATTATGTCTTGTACTGATATATTTAAACCGTAAATTAGACGCGAATAGATCAAATAATTAAGAGAACTTTTTTTAGATTGATCGCTTTGGCAGACAGTCTGTTTCAGTACATTCAAAGAGTTGTCATAGTTAATATACTGAGCACTCCATATAAATAGGGGCATATTATAGAAGTGGTGATCCAATTCCCTTCTTCCTCTTTACCCATTTTTTTACTTTTTGGCTGATTATTAAATGGATAATATAGGCCATGAGTAGGCAACCTTTAGGCACTCCAGATGTTGTGGACTACATCTCTCATGATGCGTTGCCACCATAATGGCTGTAAAAGGATTATAAAAGACACAGTCCATAACACTTTGAGTGCCTAAGTCGCCTACCCCTGCTGTAAGCAATTAAGCAGTGAGACTGTGAGACACACTGATACCCATACACATATACGGCTACACAAACTATACACAAACTGACACGTGTACTTAGAAATGCACACACATGTACATGCACTCAGACAATCCGGCCATGGGCTGGGTTGGTTGTTTATTTTGCTCCCCATTAACTAAAAACTGTCTGCAAGTCAAAACCAAGACAATCTGATCCCAGTGAGTAATCATTAAGTCTGACTAGCAATGTAAGTGTAAAGTAAAGCAATGGGTAGGACACACCTGTAGCATTCGATGGTTAGTCCAACGCATTACAGGAGTCAGCAACTGCTTATTACCTGCCACAGTAAAACTCACATTGCTGCAGTTTTATGTAAACATCTGGATACATTATTATTTATGGAAGCTGTTGCAATATACATGAAATCAACAGTTGTCAGTGTGTGGAAGACCTGTGTGATATTAAAAGAGGTTACAAACAAACATTTTGCAGGTGTCCAGGCAGATTCATGTTCGACAATCTTTAAAGAAAAGTTTAGTGATTTTATCCAGAAGGAGCTGATCAATGAACAAACCAATCAGTGAGTGAGTCTACAGCCTGGAAACAAGTGATGTGAAGAGCGAGTCGTATACAGCTTTTACGGATCTGTCATGCATCACACCTGGTAGCTAGGAGGACATTCTCATGGCAACACTCGCAGTTAGTTTTTACACTAAATGACTCAGCTTTGGTTAATGGGAAATGGGAAAACAGGTCTGTGGTTGGCGATTAGGGATGAAAAGCCCCATAATTCCCGTTGAGTAAGAACGAGTGCAAAACATAATTGATTTCTGCTAATTTGGGATATACAAGCTTTGTCCTGCATGTTTTGAGTCATAACTATTTAACCCCTTAAGGACTGGACTGTTTTTGCGATGTTGTACATTTGCGACCAGGCATCTTTTTACACTTTTGTGGTGTTTGTGTTTAGCTGTAATTTTCCGCTCTCTCATTTACTGTTCCCATACAAATTATACATTGTTTTTTTTTTCCAGGAGAAAAGGGGCTTTCTTTACATACCATTATTTATATACTCTCATGTAATTTAATTTGAAAAAAAATAAAAAAAATATGATGAAAATTTGAAAAAAATACTTTTATTTTTACTTGAAAAATATTTTACTCATCTACAAAAGCGAATGAAAAAAAACTGCTAAATAGATTCAAAATTTTGTCCTGAGTTTAAAAAAACCCAGTGTTTATGTGCTTTTTTTTGCAAGTTATAGGGCTATAGGTACAAGTAGGATATTGCGGTTTCAAAACATACATTTTTTAAATTTATCAATAGTGACATTGTAACACTATTATCGGTCATAAATCTCTGAATAACACCCCACATGTACATTTTTTTTTTAAAGTAGACAACCCAGGGTATTCAATATGGGGTATGTCCAGACTTTTTTAGTAGCCACTTAGTCGAAAACACTGGCCAAATTTAGCGTTCATATTTGTTTGTGTGTGAAAAAATTAAACTAAATTGAACGCTAATTTTTGGCCAGTGTTTGTGACTAAGTGGTTACTAAAAAAGACTGGACATATCCCATTTGCAATACCTTGGGTTGTCTTCTTTTGCAAATGGTATGCCATCATGGGGGTAATTCTCATTCCTGGGCTACCATATGCTCACAAAGGCAACGTAACCAACCTGGCCATTTTCAATGTAAAAATATTTGACCCATATATTTGACCCTGTAACTTTTAAAAACGCTATAAAACCTGTACATGGGGGGTACTGTTATACTCAGGAGACTTTGCTGAACACAAATATTAGTGTTTCAAAACAGGAAAACGTATCACAACAATAACATCAGTAAAAGTGCTGTTTGTGTGTGAAAAATGCAAAAAAAATTCACTTTCACTGACAATATCATCGCTGTGATAGGTTTTACTGTTTTGAATCACTAATATTTGTGTTCAGCGAAGTCTCCCGAGTAAAACAGTACCCCCCATGTACAGGTTTTAGGGTGTCGTAGAACGTTACAAGGTAAAATATAGTGCTAGCAAATTAAATTCTCTGGACTTTCGGCCTGGGTTGGCAGGCAGGTCCCTCAAATTGCAATCAATAAAATTAATTAATTATGTAAAAATATTACATAAATACGCATGTAGAATTTAAATATATATGCATATTTATATATTTGAAGTCTACGTGTATATTTATATAATTATTTATGTAATTTTGTATATGAACATATGTATATTTTGTATTTTTATTTATTTATATATAGATATATATACAATTTCATTCTAAGTGTATTTTGAGATATAGATATATATATATATATATATATATATATATATATATATATACTAATATCAAAATCAGTTAGAATAAAATTTCATATAGATATAATTAAATTTTATTATTTAATTTTTTTTAAGTTACTTATTTGTATTTATATACACACACGTGTGTAATTTAATTATAAGTGTATTTTTATATTAAAATATGTACATATTAATATAAATACACTTAGCATGACATATATATGATATGTAGACATATATTATATAGATAATAAATATGTCTATATATCATATTTATATACACATATATATTATTTTTTTTATTGACATGTACCTTTATTTTTTATTTTATTTTACACTAGCAGGTAGACTGCCTGTCAGCCCAGGCAGTCCCCCTGCAGGCAGACACATGGACACCTATTGTGACCATGTGATCGCTCTGTTGAGCGATCACATGGCCACAGGGGTCCTAATCCGATGCGGTGAGACTGTCTGGGCTGCAGGCAGTCTCCCCACACCGGGAGCAACGCCGATCGCCGCTGGCGGTTCAGGACAGTTCAGGACCGTCACCGGTCGGCAATGCAAAAATGCCGATGACGGTCCTGAACCGTCCTCGGTCTTTAAGGGGTTAATAGCCATCTCCTGTCTGATGAAAGATAGTGAATACAGTCAGTGCTCCACAGTAAATAACCGTAACATTAGAGAGTGGGAAAATGTATCTTGGGAAAAAAAAAAGAAAAGAAAAGAAAAGGGGGTATTTTTCCAAGCTGAAACCTTTTTAGTGTTTCTATAGTAGTTTCAAAATGGTTATAATTACACATATATAACGTTTTGAATGGAACTAGTGGAACAAGCTGAGATGGTTTTAGATGGAAAAATCTTGTTATTTGATGCGTTTTTTGTTTTTTTTTTTAAATACACAGTATGCATTAAGCAATACAATGTTAATGTGAAGAGTTCCTGCAGACTCACAGTAAGTGGCTTGTGGCATAATGTAATGATTTGTGTGGTCCAATACAAAACTTCCCAGCATGTGCGGAGGAGGGTAAAGGGTTACAGAACTAATTATTTGTGTTCTTATCAGAACAAGACTGCTCGATATTCCAAACTATTAAAGACTAATCTGCAGCACAAGTGCAAAGATCAAATCCTGTGCCTCTTGAGAAATTTCTCTTAAGACACTGGAACATTTGGATCACATCACTCGGCTAAAACCAAGTTCTAGTACTAAAGTAATGTAAACGTTACAGTGTGTTCTGAAATATGGTGCAATTCTTCGAAGAAAAAAAAAAAAGATTGATTAGGAGGAAACAGAGGGGGGTGCAGGCTCCACAACGCTCATTTATTATATGCATTTGCACAGTCAACTTATGATTGCAAAATAACAAAAAAATGCTGGCTTTCATTAATTCAAATGCACAGGGATTAAGACATTGTGTAAGTGAGGGGGGAAAAAGTTCATATTAAATATTTCTTTTCTGCATCAAGTAGAAACAAAAAATGTGATCTCTTTTACTGCAATAAGAAATGGCAAAGGGCAGGTCATCAGAGAATTTGTATCCTTGCTCTCGTACACTTATTCTCTAAATCTGCGGCTGCTTTACACGGGTTGCCATAAATTTCTCGTATTCCATCTCCCGGGGTAGCTGGACTCTCTTTTTAAACAGCAGCATCCAGATCTGAGGCTCCTATTGATTTCTTTATCCCTTAATATGATAGCAACATTGACAGTAAGGAAACGGCACACATAATGATGGAGTAGTTTTATCACACGCACAATAAAGTTGTGATTGCTTTGCCTTGGAGCTAACTGAGATAGATGTTTTTAGTAAGAAGATCAGTGGCACGGTATGAATATTTGACAAGGAAGTTAATCAAACTGTTTTTACTTTTATCAACATTGTAGGCCCTTATGCAGTGACATACAAGAGTTAGAGTCTAATATTATGAGAGGGAAAAAAATATATATATGTAGATCATGTTAATAAAACTATACTATTTACACACTAAACCCAACTTACAGAACATTGTGTCAGTTCGCTATTTTTCTAATTGTCTCTCCAGCGTAGACAACCAGTAGCCGTTTAGAAATTGCTGTACTATAACTGCAATGGCTGTCAAACATCTACAGGTCAATTGGAAGCTACAGCTTGGTCGTACAACGTGCCAAATTAGTTGGGGGAGAGAAATCCAAGTTAGAGCTATCGTGACGTATATATTAAAGCAGGTTGTCAATTCACCATTTGGTGGATAACAGTCCTGATTAAAGCAGTTTAAAAAAAAAGAACAATTTAATTTGTTCTGGTGAGTAGAATCATTACCTTCAGGCTTTTTGCTGTAAACACTGTCTTTACAGAGAAAATGCAGTGTTCACATTACAGCCTAGTGATAACTTCACTGGCCACTCCTCAGATAGCTGTTAGAAATCATTCCTGGGTCATGGCTACCTAAAATGCATCCAAACATTCCGTGTCTCCTCCCGCTGCATGCAGACACTGAACTTTCCTCATAGAGATTCATTGATTCAATTTAGCTCTATGAGGAGATGCTGATTGGCCAGGGCTGTGTTTGAATCATGCTGGCTCTGCCACTGAGCTGCCTCTTTGTCAGTCTCAGCCAATCCTATGGGGAAGCACTGTGACTGGATCAGGCCATCACTTCTAACGTCAGCAGACTGCTTGTTTTTCTGAGTCTAACAGCATGCAGAGTTACAGCTTCAGGCTTGAATACAGTAAGATTTTGCTATATTTATGGAGGCATGAGGGGCCCAGGGGGGCTAGATAGTGGTTTTAACACTATAGGGTCAGGAAAACATGTTTGTGTTCCTGACCCTATAGTGATCCTTTAATCATGCTCCATATCCTGTAACAATTTTGCCATTGGCTGGCTATTTAGTGCCCGACTTCCTCTAGCATCATTTCCGAGAGTCAACACAGCACTGTAAACTTCTGGAGGTCCTCACCAGGCATGCGCGTGATTTCACATGACTGCCCTAGGAATGGCAGAAGAGGAGATAGCAGGTGATCGCCATCTTGGAAATGTTAAGATTGCAGCAGCCCTGGGGGCTGGCACAACATTTATAGAGGTAAGTAGCACTGGTCCCGGGGCCATTAATTATCATCGAGTGTTTGGGGGGAGCACCGTAAATATAGTGACAAAGCCACTTAAAAGAAGTTTGAAAGATGACACATCCTCTTTCCCCCCTGCTCAAGGGACAAAGCTTCCTGTCTGCATTAAGAAAATCACTGAGGCTTTCTATTGGCTAATTGGCATAAAGCAAGCATGGGCCACATAAACAAGGTTTAAGTTTAGGTGGGCCACAAAAGAAAAAAAGTTCAATTTTCTTTTGAAAAGTACAGTATAAACCCCCCCCCAAAAAAACTGCATCCCCCTCTACTAAACCACAGCAACCACCTCTACTAAATCCCAGTCTCCCCCCCCTACACTAAATCCCAGCACCCCCCTCTAGCCAACAAGCAGACTCCACTCACATTGCCGCTGCCAGTATGCGACTCTGGAGTCTGGCCTCTGGTATACCCCAAATGTTGCCGTCCACACCATGTGCCAAATCTGACCCTCCCGCTACTTCTTAAAACACTGTGAAAGGTGGAGCAGGTTGATGTCATGTTGGAATGTGATGTAGCGTTGCATGCCTCCATGCACCTCCAGGTACTCCACTGTCCAGTCACGGCCAATGCAACACTGACCAACACACACACACTCACTGACACACACACATTTAAACATTCTTGCACTCACATCATTTTATTTATTGCTCCCTACCTTTGGGAGCTGGTTTGGGCCCTCTTCTATCTGGAGATCTCCTTCCTGCACTTCACTTCTTCCTTCGCGCACAGTTTAGTGATGCCGGGTGCCGTTATATGACGTCATATTCCCTACAGACGACGCGCGAGAGAGCAGTGAGGGTCAGTAAGACTGAGCTCCCTCGCTGTCGCCAGAAACCTCTCTTCCCCGGCCAGGTAACTTTTAGCAGAGTAGGCACCTGCAATGTGGAGAAAGCAGGTGCCTACTCTGCTTTAACACTAAGCATGTACTTGCGGCTCACCTGACCGCAAAGATGTCCATTGTGGGCCGCATGTTTGACATGCTTGGCATAAAGGGAAACTATATTCACTTGGAACAACTACAGCTTATTTAGAGTGGCCTTTTATTGTGGCCAGCCTAAGGCACACCTTTACAATTATCATGCTGTCTAATCAGCACCTTGATATGCCACACCTGTGAGGTGGATGGATTATCTCGGCAAAGGAGAAGTGCTCACTAACACAGATTTAGACAGATTTGTGAACAATATTTCAGAGAAAAAGACCTTTTGTGTACATAGAAAAAGTCTTAGATCTTTGAGTTCAGCTCATGAAAAATGGTGCCAAAAACAAAAGTGTTGCATTTATAATTTTGTTCAGTGTATTTTCCTGTATTTGTATACTTTTTTATTAAAGGGACATGTCACGGCAAGGGTGCATAATTTATTATTACCCTCAGGAATATTATCCTTTAATGTAATTTGTGTAGTAAATGGCACAAATTACAGAAATGGTATTATTGAGGTCAAAAGGGGTTACATCTTTTGAAGCTGGGACCCCCACAGAAGTCAGATGACAGAAGGGGTAGTGTGAATGGCATAGTAATGTGAAAAGGATTTTACTATATGGATGTGAAGTAATCAAGGATCTGCAAGGTGTGAGGTTCTACACTTGGAAAAAGTTTGAATGTCTATCCATCCATTTGGCATGTACCTTGTAAAGGATAGTTCAATCATCTGATATAGTAATGGGATTAGTGAAGATCCTTGTGTTCCAGTATTTTATCCAAGAGAAACATTAATACTTACCCACAGTTTAATAATTAAGCCTCATTTTTATTATATTTGGAATGGGATAAGCCCACTCTCTTAATTAAGCCTAAACATGAGTTGCACAACTTAAACCGTGTGCCAGGAATTGTGCTGTCTGTCTTATTGGATCGTGGGTGGGGCGTGCAACACGTCTATGGAATGGGAAAATAATAAATTCATAGAGGCAATTATTATTTCTGTGGCAAGTACAGTAGAGGAGATAAAACCAAAAGTTATTTTTGTTGTTTTCTGGAACAAAGGAGGTAGTCACTTAGTATCTCTATGGGTATGCCTTAACTCCACCCCTGGGCAAGACTTGATAAACCACAGGGTATATATCTAATGATTCTGAAGGGTGCTTGTGTACTTGCTTGGGGCCAAGATCTAATTTTGAGTGAGTCACCATCGTCCCTTGCCAGAGACCCCGTGGACAGAAGTTGTACTTTGAAAACCTTAGGACTTCTGTATTTTATCCTTTTTGTTTTTATCTGTTGTTGGTGTAAATAATTTGTTTATCATATATTGTTTTATGCACTGTGATTAATTTTTGCTCATAATAAACATTCATTTATTAAGTTCTGCCTTTGTCTGGTTAGGAATCACTTTACCTGAAGAGACTAGTTAGTATTTTTGTAATTCCTTAAATATTGTGCCAAGTAATATTTGGTGGGTTTTATTATTGATTTACCTGGGGAACCAAGGCACCCCATTTATAAAATGTCTTGGTGGTGGCAGCGTTAAAATAGTAATAGTTATATTATTATGTTAAAGTGTGGGTGGTGTTAAAGGGGGGATTTTGCTATTATTTCCGGTCTAGTGCAGACAAATAGTGAACTTTAACCCTTTCACCACCACAACTACATCACGCACACTCTTGGAGTAGGGTGCGTTCGTGACAGGACACGTCACTGCTAAAAATATACAATACAAATTACTGTTTAATAAACATGCATTTCATTTAGCATTTTTTCCATTGTTTATATCTAAAACAACTTGCTAACCCTGCAGTTTTTGTCTACTGCCTTTGCAAACTGTTCCGTCCCCTAGACATTCTGTGGCTGTCCAATCACAGACTCCCCAATGCAGCTCAGTGAGAAGTCCTTGCAAGGCAGGTGCTCTGGGCTTCCCCAAAAGGGAAGCGTTAATGCTAGTGCAGCGCATGCACATTAAATCAGGCCAGCTCTGTGACATGATGGGAGGAGGAGACCTAGTCCGTGCCAGGGAAGCCACGGCGCTGGAATTAAGGTAAGTAAAACCTTATATTCACAGAGTAGGATGAACAAACCTACAGAACTAGGGAAAGGTACACTATAGTGTTGAAATAAATAAATTATATACACATGCACATAGAGATACACACATATATACATATATACGTTCTCAGAGTTCTCAAATTCTTTGTTTTTGCTTCAGTACATTTATTTTAGCAGTGTTCTCTCATCCTTAAAAAAAGGATCAATGTTCTATTAATGCACTATAATTTTGCACGTATGTATGTACTAATTTTTTAAGGACACGATGCTATATCCACTACTTACATTACACAAATAAGAAAAAAAAAAAAAGGAACAATGTTTCATTTTCATCATCACCCATGCAGTTCATAATCTATTTTGAGTAACATTATGAAATTGTGCCGGTCTGCAGATGGTTATGTACATAAAAGTATGAACGGTTGTCCGCATGCACAAGAAACGCTACATTTAAAAGAATCATTACATAGAAGTTAAACGAGCAGCAGCCGGAGTAAAAAATAAACTAAAAAATTAAAAAAAAATGAACTAACTTCCTATCCAAGCCACCTCTGTAAATATGTAGCAAAGTATAAACAACATTACTAAAGCTATTTCCCAGGATGTACCAGTATAATGATTGGACAGGAAATGAATGTTATGAGAGATTTTTTTTTTCTAAAAATGTAAGTTTGGACAAAACAGAAAAACATGGAATTGTTTTCTCCCATCTGCACTTGGCCTGGTCACTATATTCTGATTTGACAATAGACACACATGCTGGGGAATAGATGCCGAAGACAAAGACATCATTGTATTGATACAATAGCATTCTAACAGGGAGATCTAGTTATTGAAAGAGAAACTTAGAAATGCCCAGATTTAAAGTATTATTTTAAACATACAAAGTGGCATAAGCAGCTCAACAAATCAAAACCAGATGGTACGCATTGACACTAATAGATATATGCACAAGTGTATATATTCGGATTGAACGGTGCAGCAGAATAAATTGGCTCGGGATTAGAGGGGGTTTGCATTTTATCCCATCTCACCTCTTTCTGGTTCTGTGTATATTATACAGCGCACTTCAGTCAAACAGAAAACTTATGGGAGTATCCACACGTCAAAAAAGGAAGTGTCCAGCCAAACTCTAAATGTTGCTATTGAAATCCAAAGCTGTTTAGGGTGGAGGCAGAGGAAAAAGGAAAGGTATTTTATTCCATACTTAGGTTTTCCCTTACACATGTCTGCTTGTTTAAAGGGACCTTCTACATAGAGAAATTGAATGAAAAGATTCTTATTGCTGGAATGCATATTTTTTACAGTATTTTTTTCTCCTTGTGCTATATATTCCTATCCAGCAGGGGTTTATGGGATATGTAGTTTAGCTGTACATATTATTAATATTATTTTATTATTTATATAGCGCCAGCAAATTCCGTAGCACTACACATGGAAGCTTTGTCTAAATGGATTCTATAGCGTAAGAAATACAAAGCTGTATTTCTTAAACTCTAGTTCCTTCTACCCTACCTCTTCCCAAGCACTGCAAGGGTTAAAAAAACAAAACAAAACAAAAAAAAAACTCTTAACAGTTACCTGAATCCAGTTCAGAGCCACCTCCTCTGACATCAACTGACTGGGGGGGAGAGAGAAGGGAGTTAATGCACATGTGCAGCGAGCGCATTAGGTCCTTCCCACCCTGAGGACATACAGAGTGTGAGGACATCCAGCTTCAGTTACGCTACCAAATGTCAGTAAATAAGCAGGAAGTGCATCTAGTCGCTGTCTGATTTACAGCCACTAGAGGCAGTCTTATAGAAACTGATTACATTGCAGGACTAACACTGCCATTTTTACATTGCTGGACGGGGACATTGCACCCTGAAGTGGTCTTGGTGCCTAGAGTGTCTTTTTAACCATCTCCTTAGTCTCAGACCATGTGTGCAAGCAGCCATAGCTCAGGGGAGGTAGGATCTTGTGTGTTCTGTTCCTGCACGGGATACAAACAAGTTAACCTGTGAAGAAAAAGCAAAGTTTTCTCCTCTGCCATCCACGTTAGAGGGGGTGGGGACAGTCTCATTGCTGCCATTTTAAGTTAATCTGTGCAGGGAGTCAGGAACAAGGTAAAATTACACAGAATATAACAGGTTTTTGTGATAATTCAAGTGACTATTTAAATGTGGTCATTGAACATGACAGAGGATGAAAATTCAGAAAGAAAATCAGTCAGTCTGTATCAATCTGGCTCAGTACTATAGCAGCAAAATCCGGATGTAGAAATGCGCAACTTAGTAGATAAGGCCCACTCGTGGAACCACATTTTTATTTGAACACCATATACAAGACAAATGTTTCTAAACACCTGTCCCTTCCTCTGTGTGCAAATGGCCTTATACATATGGCTTATACTGTACGGTATAATAGAAATATATTTTCTTCATTTATACATACAAGCAAAGCTAGATAAGACTTCATTTTGGCCGTTTCTCATCACACAACAATTAAATAGCAATTTCAGGTTTACACTAAATTCCTAAAAGTATCAGCATTTCTACATTTTAATATTGCTACTTTTTGTATTTGGTATTTTTAGAGAAGGGTTAGTATCCCACATGGCGCTAGGCAGGTTCGGGGTATGGGCCTACTCGATTCTTCACATAGGGATAGTTAATGTAGTCAAGCAAATACAGGATTACAGGTTCCCTGTCTAACCCATGGTCCCTAGGGTTGCCTTATGGTTAACCCTGATCTGGGTATTTGATAACTGGCAAGGTACCCCTGTAAAATATCAGTGGAAAGGGCACTCTCATTTAATAGCGAGAGCATGGGAAAAGGGAGAGTACATGAGAGAGAGAGAGAGAGAGAGAGAAGACAACAATGGACAGTGGTGAGCAGCACACGTGTAGAGTGAGAACCAAGACAGCATCAACAACAATGGGAGCACAAGGGCAGCAAACATAGAAACATAGAATGTGATGGCAGATAAGAACCATTCGGCCCATCTAGTCTGCCCAATTTTCTAAATACTTTCATTAGTCCCTGGCCTTATCTTATAGTTAGGATAGCCTTATGCCTATCCCACGCATGCTTAAACTCCTTTACTGTGTTAACCTCTACCACTTCAGCTGGAAGCCTATTCCATGCATCCACTACCCTCTCAGTAAAGTAATACTTCCTGATATTATTTTTAAACCTTTGTCCCTCTAATTTAAGACTATGTCCTCTTGTTGTGGTAGTTTTTCTTCTTTTAAATATAGTCTCCTCCTTTACTGTGTTGATTCCCTTTATATATTTAAATGTTTCTATCATATCCCCCCTGTCTCGTCTTTCCTCCAAGCTATACATGTTAAGATCCTTTAACCTTTCCTGGTAAGTTTTATCCCGCAATCCATGAACCAGTTTAGTAGCCCTTCTCTGAACCCTCTCTAAGGTATCAATATCCTTCTGAAGATACGGTCTCCAGTACTGTGTACAATACTCCAAGTGAGGTCTCACCAGTGTTCTGTACAATGGCATGAGCACTTCCCTCTTTCTACTGCTAATACCTCTCCCTATACAAACAGTGCAAAGAGACAATATGGTAGCTTTAGAGTACTGTGCACAGGAGAATGATAAAGAGACAGGAGAGAGGAAATGGGGTAGGGAAGAAATGATGTACTGGGGGAGTTGGATGCTTAGTTGTATATAAACACAACAAGAGTGTGTGTTCCCCTGTCAACCAAGCTTTACAATACTGGAAACTAATTCTCGATCCTAGGAAAGCTATTGTCACTACTGGTTGTATAATTTAAATTTATATTACAAGTAAAAGGGGGTAAGGCATGGTACGTAGAGAGATGGGAAGTTCCTCAATAATACAATATTTCTATTGACACCCAAAAAAATATATCATTTCTTAACATATAAACTGGGTTAAAAATTGAAAGATTAAAAAGGCTAAAAAACAATATAAAAAACAGATGATCAGAACATCAAAATTATTTTCTCTGTTAACATTTTTCATTTTATTTTTACTTCTACTCTGCGGTAGGTCTTGAAAAGTAAAAAAAAAATAAGCAAAAAGCCATGTAAGGCCTAATGCAGCAAAGTCCTGGCCCATGACAATGTGTAGATCATCCAGAGAGGAAAAGGATACAATTCTCTCCTCTTTGAGAAGGAAAATGAAAAGAAAACAAAGCTCCTTGGGAAAATCTATCCGTTTAAAAACAGTTTAAATCCCACGGTGGAAAAACCAATGTTGTTGGAATGACTGATTTACTAAATTAAATAAATACATTATCAGCACCCTGTGTGATAAAATGTATGGAATCTGGATACTCTGAAACATGTGTCATGTAAGACTTAATGCAAAAGTCCTGGTCCATTACAAAGTGTAATATATATTTGTCGAATATTAAAAAACAAACAAAAAAAACACCTCTATATTTTGGGACTTTTTGAAGTTAGAAGTAGAGCTAAACAATGCAGAATACAGAAACATGTATTAAAGGAACATAATATCTTTGGGGTCTAAAGTCCTTTGGGCTTATGGGTTATTAGGACTTCTATGGAAACCTTGAAAACACTTTCAAAGTGTAGATACTTTAACTAAGTATCACGGAGGTTTCTCAGGATACTTAACACTAATAATCCATTCCAATCTAATGGATTTAAAAGACATTCACAGAGGTGAAATTTACCCGAGTAATGTAAAGCATTAAATAATACTAGTCACTAGAGGCAATGATGGTGTTCATGGGGATGGTGACAGGGACTGGAGTCCCGAGTGGGGACCTAAAAGCCCTGGGTCTAATTTTGGCTTGATGTCATTGTTAGCCCTGAGTCCCATATAATACGGAGTGACAATGTCACAAATTATTTAATTGGAAGGGTTATTACTCTCTTTAAACAACATATTTTAAATACATTATAATGCACATTGTTGTATTGCTGTACGTCTAGGATTTTAATGCAGGGGGTAAGGGTAAGTTAACATAGCATCACTTGAGGTTAATACAGCAGGTGTGAGTTTAGAATAGAGGTTCATATAATACTGTGAATTTGTGAATACTGTGAATTTTGTTGTTACAATTTTATTTATAGAACTTGTTGGGGATTAAGGGTGGATTTGCGGGTTGGTATAGGGTTTTTAGGAGGAGTCTAAGTCAATGAATGTGGCGGAAGCCATACCATACCTTGGGCTGAAGCCTTTGGTCATGTTGCCATCTAGCAAGGCATATATATTAAAGCACAATACTGATGCATGTAAGAAAGTTTATCAGTATGTCTCTGCATAGACGTCAGAGCGATCTGTCCATTTTTACTATAGTAAATTTACTACTCCCAGCCATAAAACTAACAAGTAAAATAAAACCAAAGATCTTCTTGTATAATTCCAGCGCATATTTTGACAATCCACAACATAAATATCATAATAATAATAAAGTGTATAAAAATAAAAGTTAAACAAAATGCAGTTTGCTGGCAAATGTGCACTTTGATTAAAGCTATGCAGCATAATAGTATGCCTTACCTCTTACCAATACCTATACACCAAGGGTGGAACTCAGGCAAAAGTTCATCAGTTCACAAACATCAATGGGAGGGAAGTTTACCCATCTATGTTTATATACAAATTAACTAAAGTGTCATTTGTGTATATTGTCTCCCACTAGTCTGTAGAATAACTGGTTTTATTTGAGTTCAATAAACTTGCAGGCCTATCATAAACATTTTTTTTTTCCCCAAAAATACATAACCCATAACCCAGGTTAATATAGATACGTTAAAAAAAATAAAAATATCAGTGTTTCACTTTCATACATTTTATAATTGTTTTTTTATGTTGCACAATCTGTAATTTGTTTTTCTTTTAGAAAGTAGGACTAACAGTCACTGTCATTTAAGAGTTATTTATACTTTATTGCTTATTGAATAAGTAAAAATCGAATTTGTTGTGAAAGGTCTCGTGAGATTGTGATTTTGAGTGTCAGGATTGCGGACGCACAACTCATTTCTTTAGAAAGGAAGTCATGTCTATCCGTACGTTGGATCGACACATCCTGCCGAGTTGTTCCGACATGACTCCTGGCTACTCTGGGCAAGCATTCGACTGTAACTGAAAGAACAAAATCCCAGGCCATAGTATAGTAAAATACCACTGAGGGAGGTTTCATAATTTATCCTTCCTGCATGAGCACAAGAAAGTATTCCAGATGGTATCAGTATGTCCTGATCTACAAAACTACAGTGTTTCACTGCAAGATTTGGCAATTTATCTTGCTCAGATTATTTGTGATGGAAAATTATGATCATCTGAAAACCACAGCTTACAAAGAAATGAATGATTAGTCTTCATAGATTTCAGCATTAAAATATCGCCTCTGTGAGTAACTCATTACAGATTCAATACATTTCACTGTTTCTACAGTCTAAAATGACCGAAATATATTTAGCAGATCTTGCTTAATGGATCTTAGGAGGAACATATATTTTAAAATTTAGGGAACAGATAATGTTTTCCTCAGAGCTGTTTTTCTATATTTAACTACGACATATTAGCGGTCGGGTTTTGCTTTGTGGTTTTTGTTTTATATATCTTTTATTACCGTGTTATGAGTTTAGGAAACTCATTGGAGATATCTTTGCCAGAAGCTCAAGGAAGCAAGGTGAAAGGTCAGTGTAGGATCTGCCTAGGGGGGTCTGCCTTGACGTTGGCAGGCGGGCATTCCCTCCAATGGCCATTGGAGTAACTAAATGACCTCTATTTGTTTAAATATACATAGGGATTTAGGAGAGAGCGCAGGTAACTTTTTTCTTTGGTTTTTACGGTAAGTATTGGGGATGATGTGTACTGTGGTCGTTGCTGCCACCCAGGAGTGATGGGAGTGAGCGCAGGACTTATCTATCTTTTTGTATTTGAGTTTAGGAAATGCTTACTTGTTGAGACCCATGGGTAACCTATCAAATGTCATGAGACAGATTGGACTTTTCCCAATAGGTATGGCACCAAGTTCCTGCCATCTCTACACCAACACTTGTCCCTATTTGGACTAAATTCCTACTCTCCTTTTTGCAACGAAGAATGCTTGATTTGCATTTGAAAAATTAAGATCCCCAGATTAGTATTTTAAAGGTAGAGTACAAGTGTTTAGAAATTTATTTTAAAAAAAATAAATAAAAAATAAAAATACATCTGTGCTATACTAAATTATCTTTTCAGATACATAAATTGTTATCTTTTGGTCATGAGGTCTTGTTGAAGTTCCTACCCTGTCACACTCACCAAACCCCCTAAAGAGTCCATCCAATAGGTTACTTTTAATTTCATGGTATATGCGTACCAGCTTACTTCTGATTCTTTAGACAATGCAAAAATACCAACACACTTAAGCGAAACCTGCTGAGACTAGTTTGGGGTATGATTGAATGGTGAATGGTAGGTCTGTTTGCAGTGTAGCATGTGTATGTGCATATAAATAGGGACTGTAATGTGTGTTTGTTGAGCATAGGGACTTAGGGTATGTTTAGGGGAATAAGGGCAGTAGAGTGTATAGGGCGTTATGATGCCTTTGGGGGTTATAGGCTATAGTGTGCTTGTGAAGAAAAGGGGCATAGTGGCAACAGTGGGGGGATACCTGTGGTGCGGATAATAGTGGCTATAGTGGGGGGGGGTAGTGGCTGTAGTGGTGTGCTGGTAGTTGACTGTAGTTGACTCTGATGGGCTTATTGGTGGGGGGGGGGCTCTCAGAATTTTCTTCCCTCCTCCCTGAGGCATATCTTGGACCAGGAAGGGGAATCCTGATCCCTCGTGTTCCGGACAGAGATTTTGGAGTCTTCACCCTTTGTGGGAACAGACAACTCCTTAAAGCTGGCATCAAGAAATGTATCAGAGTGTTGCCAAGGTAATCAGCAGCAAAGATGCAACAGATCAGGAACTGTAAGGGAGATCAACTAGAGCCGAGATCACCCAGTCAGTTTGGCCCCACTGCAGGAGATCTTTAATCACCTCGGCGGCCTTATGGCAATTCCAGCCCTGAGTACACACAGTGCAGGGAATAAGTCTTCACTAAGTACTCTGATATGTTACAAGTGTTTGGAGGGAACAGGAAAGTGTATTGTGTGTGTTTAATAACTTGTAGTGTAGGATTAATGCTATTGGGGGTTAATACAGAGCTATAGGGTTATTGCTGCAAATGCTAATGTATGCAAGTGTGTGTGCGCACATGCATGTGTTTATATCTGTCTGATATTGATTTGTGTGTGTTTGTGGGCATCTGTGTGCTTGTGTGTTTGGTAGAACACATGTGATTGTCTGTGTGTCTGGGAGTATGGCTCTCAGCTCTAAGGCCAGCTTTACAAGGATATTCTAAACACCATAACCACTACAGCTTATTGTCATCGTTATGGCGCAGGAAGGCTTAAAGCGTACCCCCTTTCATTTTCATAATCTATTATTCATACCCTCTGCAGCTGCCAAAATAATGACACATTTCACCAACCCATTATAAATCCAACTTTGGACAGCAATAAAGAGGCTACCAGTCCTGGGTGTGGGCTAACAGGATGTGTTTTCTTTTATTAATAATTATTGTTTTCCATGCCCTCAACCCTTCTGCACTGCCTTGTAACTGCGGAGTGGCCCTTTTTGTTTGAAAATACTACTGTATAAGATGCTATAGCTTGGCATTCTACTGCCCTCTACAGGTGAACTACAACTCTCCAACTGAGCTATGATGATTAGAAATCTGTGCTATACCCATAATGTACTGCTTATGGGATAAGCTTGGCAGTGAATTTGGATTCTGGAGTAAGCTCACTGCAGAAGCTGCAAGGCAGTTAATGCAAGAACATCAAATGTAAGTAAATATGGGACATGTCTGTCTTGGAGTGTCTTTTTCACTAAATCTGTGTTTTCCCTGCCCCTTCTTTTGAAAAGGACAAATCTCTATACGCATAAGTGGTTATACTGGCAAGCCAAGTTTGGATATAGATGAAACAGACACATTAATCAGAGTAGATTTCAGGCTGGGAACATGCCATTATTTTCTTATTTATGTATATTTATTTAAGCCACGGTTCATTTAACATAAATTGTAAATAGGCAATAGTTTCCCTTTAAATATTAAAGCTGGTAATCAAAGTTGGCATTCTATCCAGGATAGAAATGGTTAAATAAAGTTACACGCTGCTCTCAATTAAACTTAATGTTAGTAAAACCAGCTTACTCCATGTTTATTTTACATTCTTTCTTCAACCAATGTAGAAAAGCGCAACCGCCATCTCAGGTTTCCAGTTAGAGGCTTAAGTCCAAACTTAACTCATAATCCACAGCAAATCAGGAAAGAAAAGAATGTCTGTCTGTGATTGCATTACTTAACATCCATGGCCCAGTAATTTAACATTTAATTTCTCCGGAGATAGCAACTATGTATGTCCCAGGTACGGACATTTTGGCACGGAGTGCCGTACACAGCGGTAACCGTGCAGAACAAATCCCTTTCAATTAAACAAAGGTGCAGTTGTTCGAAAAAAAAAAAAAAAAATAGTTTATAAAGCCAAAAACACGACGAGTTACACACAGTCTAAGGTTTCCCTACACAATCCCGGCCAACTGGATGGAATGGGTTTTAATCGTAGTGACAAACCCTTGAACATTCCAAATGTAATAGGTTTTTCGGCAATTACAGCAAACACAGAAAGGCTGCAGATAATCACCAATTGACCCATGTTGTTGAATAGACAGATTGGTTTGATCCTCAAGAAGGCCTAGGTATCATTACACCTATGACTTAAATTAGTCAATGCTTCATTAAAATAAAATAATGAAAGTTCAATTACATGCATTACTCATATGTAACATGCCAGGCTAGTTGTTTTTTTGGGAGGTGTGCATTGTATACGTAGGCTGACATAAGTCAATTTTCTTCTGAACATTTTCTACTCACTTGATAATGATTTAATATGAAGCGGGAATTTGATTGGTTTAGAACATTAAGAAGCCAATCAGAACACCGCTTTTGTTTAAACTAGAATAATGGAGTAATTTATTGCTCTGCTCTCTCTGTATCTTTGGTACTGGTTTCCTCCAACATCTATGCTTCCTGTTGCGGTGATAAAATACAGAGCAGACAGCCCTTTTAGCAGTTTTTTTTAAAATGGATTTATTTTTATATTTTTATCTAAAATGTGCCCCGGAATGCTATTTTGCATTGAAACCATGAATGTGTTTAAATATTTTAATGTGAGGGGGTTGGATGCCCCACACAAAGGAGGTTGAGGTGACTAGAGACCAAACATATATTTCAGGTAGTCCTAATTTTATGACTGACCTATTTGACGACGACTCAGACTTACGACTAGCTCTCTAATGCACAATTTGAGGGATTCCCCACGTTAGAGAGCTGGTCTATACAATCGAAAAGAACATAGACAAGTGCACCAGAGCAGGAAATCCCTCAAATCTATGTTCGGGGAACATTCCCAGCTCTGGTGCTCTGTATCTCATTCTCAGGAACGGAAATCGGTCGGTAAGTGAGGAGCGTCTGTACTTGTATCCAAAAGACCCATTTTCAAATTAAGACTTTGGATTTAAAAATATTTGCAATTTATAGGCTGTTAGTTTAATTATGTAATATAGCAGTCTATAATTATGCTTTTATATGTATATTGTACATGTTTTCTTTTTCATGTATATGTGTGTATATATATTTGTATTGTTGTAGAGAGAAACCTCCCTTATTTTGTATCTTTTCCCTTTGTTATTGTTGACAAATGAACATTATAAAGTTAAAAATTAAGACAACCGTTTTATGCTGTAAGCAAAAACTACTTTCTTCCTGTGTCAATAGGTCACCTTGTCTGTTGTATATGGCTGCTAATGAACACGTTAGCACATATATTTTTGTATAGCGCTATAATTTTCCCTTTATTCTAAAGAAAACAAATGTAGTTTTTATTAGCCTTTTTTCATAACAAATCCACCCCCCCTATTAATTTATTAGCTCATCTATGTACATTTTATAGATCTACAATATCGTTCTTCAAAGCTGGTGCCCAAAATTGCAGTGCATATTCAAGGTGGGGTCTTACCATTGATTTATAGAGGCAAACTTATATTTTGATCATGTGAATCACTGCATACTGTTTGTTTGTTATCTATAATTGATTCCAAGATCACGGTCTGTACAGGTCATCAGAGGAAAGTCTGGACAGCATGTGCTTAGGCATATTCATCAAGGGCATGAATACACATGAATGTATGATTAAAGGATTCCTCCAAGCATCGTGGCCATGAAGTACTTGGAGTCAGTATGTGCACACAATTTTAAGCACGTAGATCAGGAGCTCCCATTAAAGTTGATATTTTGCCTAGATATATGTGAGCATGGCACAGAAGCTGGTTGGATAAAGTTTTCTGACAGGACTTTGGAAAGGACAGAGTAGTGTAGTGAAGTGTAGTGAAATGATAACAAAAAGCAAAAATTGTTCTTCGATACAGGTTGGAATGATTTAGAAAAAAAACATTTACTCAAAATTGGAACAGACAGCAATAAAACTGCTTGTACTTGACATATATACCAACTTATAAGTTAAAAAAATGACACATTCTTGCAAATAAACCCAAAATGTGTCTAGAAAAACCTCTTGCATTCACATTTGTGATCAGATAGAAGGTGACCCCAACAACCCCCTAGACTGGAGTTAAAATTTACCCGAGGTAAAAGTTGGATATTAATGTAAACTGCATTCTGTAGAGTACAGAATTAACACTAATCCTTGTTGTTTTTATTTCTACTCCAATAACCACAACAAAGAGAACGTTACCTGCGCTCTGGCCCAAATCCCTATGTACATTTAAACAAAATGGAGGCTCTTTTTATTCCAATGGTCATTTGAATATAGACGCTCAGCTGTCACGTCAAGGCAAGCCTCAATAGGTGAGTTCCTACACTCGCCATTAGATTTACTGATATCAGCCAAGAATCTACGAGACAGGAAGGGGTGTTTTATTAACCCTTTATGGGGCTTCTACACATACAATAAACTTTGCTGATATCAGACAAAGGTAAACGTCTCTAATGAGACATGAAGGGGTGTTTTATAAACCCATACATTGTTTTACTATGTATTTTTAGCTGTTGGATACTAAGCTACTGCTGCTGTAACCGCGGGGCTTTCTCTCTGTGTTTGTATATGAATTTTGTATCACACAGCTATGTTAAATTGTTGCCAGCCACCCCATGTTTGTCTTGTTAAGAGTTTATAAGTATGTAGGGGCAGCACCCCTTCCTGTCTCAAAAGAGAAATTTGCTTTCTAGCTGATATCAGCAAGGTGATTTGTATGTGTTATTTACCCTTATTTACAGGGCTATAAGTATGTATGGGTTTATAAAAACACCCCTTCATGTCTCATTCGAGATGTTTACACTTTGTCTGATACCAGCAAAGTTTATTGTATGTGTAGAAGCCCTATAAAGGGTTAAATGTGAAAGGGTTTATAAAATACCCCTTCCTGTCTTACTGGAGATTCTTGGCTGATATCAGCAAATCTAATGACTAGAGTGGGACTCACCGTTTGAGGCTTGCCTTGACGTGGCAGGTGAGCTTATATATTCAAATGGCCATTGGAATAAAACTAAAGAGCGTCCATTTGGTTTAAATGTACATGGGGATTTAGGCCAGAGCGCAGGTAACGTTCTCTTTGTTTTTACTATGTATTTTAAGCTGTTGGATACTAAGCTACTGCTGCAGTAAGCGCAGTTCTTTATTTTTGTGTTAAAAACCAAAACCAACACTTTGTAGGGGAAACACACTGCTAATTTATCATAAAAAAAAAACCCCAAAAAAAACAGTTGGTGTACTTCAGGGGTCATGCCGAATAAAATATTGATGGGTACATTTTTCTTTTAAATTTTATTTTTTAATAGATCTGGTGCTGAAGAATCAAGGGCAAACATGGTTTTAGATTTGTTTTTCTCAACATATAAAATAAATTCTACAAAAAAAAAAAAATATGTCACCTACCTACGTTGTTGGCGGGATACCGTTTACGGAGCCGTTCTGTAAGTTTGGATACCTTGCTTTTGATGACCTCATTTTTACTGAGGAATCCATTGTCCTGGAGGTTTAAGTCGTATTCTACAGTGCCCTGTGATACATCGTCATCCTCCTGTGAAATAAGATACCGTTCCAAAAAAAAAGAAAAGAAAAGAAAAGGACACAGTGTGGGTTTAAATGTGATAAAGCTGCACCCAAAGCAGATACCTATTCAAACCTGGTCCATTTTTGGAAACCATGCACAATCTGTTATGAGGAGTAAAAAGGAACTGAGAACTTTCCCACAGGTGTGCTCACTTATCGGATGATGTGGACTTGTGTTCAACAATAAGTCTGACTTTTTGGAAAAAAAATGCCACTTTATAAAATGTTCTATAGCTGGTCTAGAAATTGGACACAGATTTAGAGAAACCCAACGCAAGCAACCAAGTAGCAGATACAAACAGACAAGAACTGGGAAAATAAGAAAAGCAATATTAAAAAAAAAAAAGGATAAAAAAAAACGTGTGGAAATTAAAACTGCTACTTTTTCTAACTGTTGTAGTCCAATAATTGGTCCAGAAAATACAGTTTGCTCCTTAACTTCCCAATAGTAATCCACTTCACAAGACATAGGTTGAAATCTAATAAAATAATCTTACAAATGGCTGATCTAGTTTAAACAATACCAACACAACAGTCATACTGCAAGGAGTAGTAGGCTTCTACTTTTTCAGTTTGCAGGCTGATTTAACCGATTTTATTGTGGTCTTATATGCGGTTAGTCTGCACTCACCATTGTAATCAGCTGTTGTTCCTTTCTCAAGCAGCATGTAGAGAAAAGAACACAGTTAAGAACTAAGAACTTTCAAAATGTTTGGCTTAAAGAGATTGGAATGTCTTAAATAGAAGCCAATGTCAAAAGGCAAGGTAGATGCATCATATGTTCTAAATCACCTTATGGAGAGAAACGAGAATGTAACTTTAAATGTAATGGGGAACAAATCTGTCCTTATTCATTTCCTCTACCAGCTGTTGCCCCATGCCTCTTATCTATGAATGTAACGAAGATATTTACATTGAGACATAGTGCCCTGTGCCAACTGTATTAAAGCACACAGACATGGTCTGCAGCTCCATTAGACAACTCAAAATATACATCTAGTATAAACCATGCTATAAAAGAATACATAAAGGTGTAGCAGGCATTTATTACATCTTAAAGTGAACCCATTAGGAAAAAAAATAAAAATAAATAAAATTACTTTCCTGAAATCGCTCCCATATACATTAAATACACCATATATCACAAAGATACATGGTGTATTCAATGTAAATTATTAAGATTTACTCACTTTTCCTCCATTCCACTCTTCATGTAACACGCAGCTCCTTGCCCCCAGCTGTCCGACGCTTCCCCGGAAGTCTTTGATTTGCTCTGCTTGGGATACATTCCCAAGCAAGGCACATCTCGTCAGTGACGTCGGCATGCTGGCTTCAATATCAGCGTGCTGGCTTTAAAAGGAGTGACGTCACATCGCTCTGTTCCTATACTCCATAGCACAGGCAGGAAGTTTCCATAGCAATCACAGCACATGCGCTGTGGTTGCTATGGGAGGAGAACAGAGGAACTTCCTGTGTGAGGTCTTTTCTGCTCTCCCTTGTCAAAGGCTTGGCATTGACTGAGATTGTGAGAGATTTTTCTCCTTTTCTATACCTTTTCTGGCATAACTGCTAGCACAATGTAGAGAAAACATTATGAGCTCAATCGAATGAGCATTGGTTGTTTTGGGCATGACAGGTGCCCTTTAAATAAGTGATAAATGGGTGGATACATAAATTTCTAAATTGTCGTAAAAGTTCACCTTTCATTTAACTTTAACTCCCACTGTATATGGGAACATTTCAAGTACTGTGTTTTTCTTTCCCTTAACTCTATAGCTTGTAGCTAAAAACAAAGTTCTATTCTGGCAAAGGAAGAAGGGCCAAAAAAAAAAAGTAATAAGTAAGTAATTCTAAAATAAGTAAGTAGGCTGCAAGAGGTTAACAAGGTAGCTGAATAGTTATCATAATTATGTTTTGCCTTACCTACTTCTGAAATGGGCCAGTATGAACATTTCACAAGGTTAACTATATTTTTAAACTTTGAGTCATTTGTCGCAACTGATTTTAACGACCAGGCTTGTGTCAGAAGCAGTGACCATGTTAAAATAAATGGGGATTCATGTGAGAGAGACTCACACATTCTACTAAAACATGCAAGCTGAACCAGGGCAAGCATCAGGGGAAGAGTTTTCATTCTCAAAACCAAAATGGCGGTGCTCATTATAGAGTTCCAATGATGGGGGTAAGAGGATTTCATTTTTTATGGGTTTTTTTTTTTTTTAACACATTTTTCCATTTTTGCCAGTTGGTTGGTGACACAAAACACATCAATAGTGTTTGAGGATACACTAAAACACAGATCTTTTGAAGAGTGACCAACTAGAAAACTAGAAAAGAAGTAGTTAATCTCTGTTAATTTTCTGCAACTCTAAATCACGTAGAGAATTGTGAGACTTTTCATGTAAACATTTATGGTAATGCAACATCTTTGTTAAAAGGGACAAGAAAAAATAAAATCTGAATACAGCCAATTTGATTATCATTCTGTTTTTCAGCTATGCCCTACTGCATCCAGGTTTCAGACATCCTAATCTATATCTCTCGCCATGTTTCAATAGATCTGCTAAACATAGGGTCCTCTCAAAAAAGAACCAGATGCTTCCTGACACTATGCAAGGCTTTACTCCAGGCTAACCAACTTGTCTAAAAATGCTGCAAGCTGGAATTTATTTGGAAATGGAGGTACAAACCCAACTTTCTCACTGAATGTGCCCTTTTTGCTTCTTAGGAAGAGGGACGTGGGGCTGACTCACTGACCAAGTGTGTTTGGAAGTCAACATTGAGGTGTCCCCAGAGATTACAAATTAAGATAAAACTACATCCATTTGAGTGGAACCCCCTCTTTGGTACTGAATATGTTACCAGGCACAAACATGATTACTAAGCCCACCTCAATCGCATCTTTAAACTCTTCATCTGGCTCAGCTTCTTCTGCTTCTTCCACACTCCCTGGGGAGAGGTCCTGTGGAATTAAACATAACCAGTTAACCACTGAAATTTAATGAAAACAAATTAATATGCATATTTATCTGTGAACCCCCTCTTACTGTAGTGAAGGTTTGAAGAGTCACTAGTAGATATATACAAATCAAAACAAAAACAGAGAATACATATGAGAACTTTGGGAACAGGCAAAAGCTTTGAGAAATTCAATAGCTTGCCCTTCAGTTAGGCTACACTCAGGTCTCAAAAATGTTTTTGCTCACTTGTGCAAATTCTATAGGCTCTCTTTGTAATGGCACATCAGACTGACCCCAGCCTTAAGGGCAGTCCAGAAATGAAAGGTCTCTCTGCACAAGAGATAAAGCAACCCCGGATAATAATTTCAACCTTCTGTGGGCCTTGTCAGGGAGGTGTAGCTGACACCCATCTAGAAACAGTGACCATGGGGTCCACAACTGGATTACCCGTTTAGCTTAGGCAGAGCATATATAGGTAAGTGAGGTAATTGTACACTAAATCAAGGCAGTGGTCTAGTTCTAGTGAGGACACAAATAGAGCGGAACACATTTCTCAATAATATAAGAATAATGCATAATGATCAAAGGATTTCTTCAAGCACCGTAAATACTACCACCTGCCGTATTGGTTATAGTGCCTGGAGGACCCTTCCAATATCCTAGGGTAAGTAGTCAAACCATTTGAGCAAAGTTTGACAACTTATCTGTGGTCCCTAGGGAACACACAATTCTTTGCAACTGAAAGCTCATGCACTGAGCAAAGCCCAGAAAATGTCAGCATCTCCTAGTTCCAGGTGAGGTAGCTACTGGCGCCCGGCAGATCGTAAGTGAGTTGTCAATCTGTTTTGACTACTTATGCTGGGAGTGTGACAGGGCACTTCTAGTACCATAACCACTACAGCAGGCTGTAGAATGCACAGGAGAGATTGGAGTGTTATTTTAATCTCATTCTAAATTAAAAAAAAAAAAAAAAAACTTCTTTTGAGTCTAACACCACCCAAAACATTTGTGGGTGCCCACGTGATGCAAAATATCCATGAGTAAGTTGTAAGCCTGTCTGCAGACTCACCTTGAGGTTAGGTTTGAGACCAGCTCAGAAAGAGAAGTGCTAGCTCAAATAAAACCTCTCATTTGACCTCTCATGGGACGGCATCTCAAATTGTTGAGTGCATTATATTCTATTCAGCCTCATCAGTGATTTTCTTTCATTCTCTTACCCCATTCATTTTTTATTTTCGTTCTGTACTGCACTGTTTTATTCTGGGTCAATTAGATTTTGATTTATTTTCGGTTATTCACACATCACATGTGTAGATGGATTTTGAAACATTCTTAGCAGATTGGCTGCCTCTGTTGAATAAATCATTATCTCCTGCCAAGCCTTTAAAAACTATGCTGAGTTGTGTGTAGTTGTAACCACATGGGTAAATTATGTCTGACCAAAAAAATTAGAATGAATTAGTTTGAAGTACTTTGGGACAGATTTAAATGACAGAATTAAACTGGTGGAAAGTGTTCGTCATCATGTCAAGAAATTAATAAGTGAGGGAGTTTTCAGAATTCTTGTCTCCTCTAATTGGAGAATTCTTGTACATTGTCAAAAAGTTCACCATTTTATTTCACATGTTTGTATTGAGGAATCCATTGATGCATGCCGTCATTATTCATTATAAATTCTATATTGTCTTTTTCATCACGTCTCTAAATTACATATAGCCATGCCAAAAAGTACATCCACTAATAAATACAGTAAACAAGCATAAGTGGGGGTCTCCAATGCAAGAACAAGATTGCAATGCAACAGAGTAAAGAGTGGCGCAAAATTCAGAGTAGGATTTCACAGGTAAATAACTTGTTAGTAGTTCAATTTTTTTTTGTTGCAGGTACATATCATGGGAGATATGTCATGGGTAATTTCAAGGAAGGAACAACAAGTAAAAACAGTGTGAGATATTGGGATATAATTTTTTAAAAATTGCATGTCCTGTAGTGGAAAATCATCTTAAAGTGTGGTCTCAACAGGGTGGGGTTACTGCCCATACAGCCAGGGCCACAATGGTCCTCCTGAGACAACTGTTTGGCGAGCAGATAATATAAAAATGAAAAATACAAAAAGGAGAGGGTGTACGTAAACAAACCGTATACACTTGAGCAGCACAAGAAGCATATTTGTGCAGAAATTTGAGCGCTAAAGCCTCAGCCATTAACTAATGTTATGAACAATGCAAGCAAGAGAGCCTGACTTTGCAAGGTGGTAAATGGAACTCATTTAAGAGATGTCATCTTCTGTACATACATAGTCAAACAAATCTAAATACGCACAACATTCATTGTCTGGAATATCATTGAAATTGGTTCATTAATAAAAAGTTACTGACTAATCAAACCCTACTCCGAATTTCAGGCCACCCCTGTACATTAACACAACTTCTTTTCGGTTTGATAGAAAATTAAATCCAAGTAAATATACAGTAGGTGATGTGATTGCTAGATTAACACACCATTTGAACAGCTGCTACCTTTAGGGGAATGTTTTCATAAAATGTGATATTGGCCCAATCAGCAATATATGAATCCTCACAAACAGTGTTTTACTAGGGAATAACTTTGCAAACAAAACAGACTTCTAACTAGGACAATATGGAACTTATAAATAGAGACCCTGGACACAGAGGGGTCTCCTAAAGTAAATAGATTTTATATCTGGTACAGGTAACTGCAATGTTTTAGTCAATATTCAAGCCTTTATTAAGCCTAATTGCACAATCCATAACCTGTTACATTTATAGTGAAAACAGTACAATATAGCTAACTCACTAGGCCGAAATGGTTAGTGCACTTCAGACCAAAAGTCAATGACTGTTGCTGTCAGTCCTCCCCTGGCTTATTATTACATTGTTAAAATGTTTCTTAAATGGATTATATAGTGTTATGAATACAAATCTGTGTCATTTGGTGTGTTCCCCCCTCATGTCACCCTGGCAGCTAACGGGTTAAAAACCCTTTATTCACTTACCCGATTTCATGGTCAGTACTTCGCCTTCTCCAAAGTCATCTGACAAGGGGGGGTGCTAATGTGCATGTGTGTCAAGCGCCCCAAGTATTATTATGCTTTTCACTTCAATGCTTTCTCTGGGAGGTTTTCACTAATGCTGGATGTTCTTATGCAGAGCATCATTTAGGGGACCTAGAGTCCATTTGCATCCAGGAAGGGCCTCTAGTAGCGGTCTGACAGCCACTAGAAGCAGTCTTAGTCATGCAAGGTAATCATTGCAATTTCTTAAATACTGCAGTGTTTTACATTGCATAGTTAACAGGGACAGGGAAAGGAACAGGAACACTGAACCCAGACCACTTCATTGATATGAAGTGACCTGGGTGACTAAAGTGTCCCTTTAAGGTTTTTAGGACAGATGTGATGCCGATTAGCACGTAAATCAACACAGTAAAGGAGGAGACAATATTTAAAAGAAGAAAAACTACCACAACAAGAGGACATAGTCTTAAATTAGAGGGGCAAAGGTTTAAAAATAATATCCGGAAGTATTACTTTACAGAGAGGGTAGTGGATGCATGGAATAGCCTTCCAGCTGAAGTGGTAGAGGTTAAGTGAAGGAGTTTAAGCATGCGTGGGATGGGCATAAGGCTATCCTAGACTAATGAAAGTATTTAGAAAATTGAGCAGACTAGATGGGCCAAACGGTTCTCATCTGCCGTCACATTCTATGTTTCAATAACATACATACGCTCGATGCCACCTTTCAGTCTGAAGTGCACTAACCGTCTCCACCTGGTGAGGTAGTCATTGGTTATGGTTTTCATGATAAATGCATGGGTTTTGGATCTCATTAGCTTTGATAAATGCCCATAAATTGACCGAAACATTGATGTTCCTGAAATAAATTCTGCTATTTTGGATACCACTCCGTGTTCCCAGGTTTTCTATTCTAATTGATCTGTTGGGAAATAAAGTTGGTGCACCCAGGTGGAATTTATCCTTATTTTTCAGTGTGTTAATTTCCAAAAAGAGGTAAACAAAATTAAACAAGTAGATATCCACCCCAAGGTGCTCAGCTTTTCGAAACTTGCTAGAAAAGCTCCTTGCACCTGTCTAATGAAGGAAACATTCCCTACAGGCTGAGGGCATAGGAACATTTTACGACAGACACACACACTTCTGGCAGAATGCCCAGAGGAAAGTGGAGAGGGGTAAAAATAGGCCAGATGACCTCTCCCACATTTTCATGCATACTGCATATTGTGTGTGACGCTCACGCGCGCGCGCACACACACACACATTGAGTTCTTAGGACAAATAGATCTGGCGGAAACAAGTTCAAGTAGATTTTCCTAAAACTTTTAATTCCTCACAATTCCAATTATTTAAAATTCCAGGTTTAGCGAATAACCCCACTAATGTGCAACCATATACAATAGTCTGCCTTGGCATCATTATGCTCATATTGTAATGAAAGTATGACACCTTGTTGCGTTTCAGTTGTTTCAAAGGCTGTTGGAATTAAAAAAAAAATAGTTAACATTCCAACAGGAAGCGGTATGGTAGCTCCATGAAATCCTACCAGTGTATGGCTTGTAAAACCTGGACCGTCCAAGCAGGAGGAGAACTGAGGAGACAGAAAATGCAGGAGGAGACAGAAGAATAGAAAATATTTTTAAAAAGGGAAGAAATCATTCTTAGAATAAAATCGAGAAAAAAAAAGTAACAATGAAAGGGAAAAACAAATGTTAAGGATTATAATAAGCAAAATGACCAAAACAGGCTCAGTTGAACTCATGTGAAGTTAGTTCCTAAAACACATTCATTGTAAAGATAAATTAAATATCTCTGGCTGCAAAGCAAACTTGGGCTCAGGGCCAAAACGTTGACAAAGCCCACCGACTCTGCCAGGCTGTGTCTGGTTTAGCAGATTATATCCAATTTTAATGCAAATGAGACTCTGTGATATTTCAAGGTCTTCCTCCAAGTTACCAGATGGTAGGTAACCCTAGTACTTGTATTGAGGAATGGGACGCAGTTATTGTCCAGGGATCGCAAATGGAATGTGTGGAATATTGAACAAATCCCACACAGAATTAATGAAATGTAAACGAACAGCATTCTTAAGTTGTACACACTGAAATATATAGGAAATAATATATCCAAGAAAAGTGAAGACTTAATGGCCGCTTACTCATCTCACAACTGTGTTTTTTTTTTTACATGATTATTCTACAGTGACCTGAATACAATGACATTGCTGGGGAATTAAATAAAAGTTGGTAGAATCTATCAAAATGTAAAGTTTCATAATGCACAACACATTCTGAAATGTTAGCTTTCAAACCACTTAGCTAAAGACATATCTAAAATTGTACGGCAAATTGAATGCCATTCTACATTGAAAGGGGAAGGAGGGAGGTTGGGGTACTAAGCAGTCATTTAAAATTTAAGTACACCTAAAAGCATTTTGGAAGGATTAAAATAAATACTTTTGCTTGCTTCTCTTGGAACAGACAAGTATATGCAACCATTACTACCAATTTAGAGAGTCCCCTTACTGCTATGTATACAATGAGAACGAATCTTCAAAGTGTTCAAATAATTGAGTGAATATATAGGTGCAGGTGTGCATAGAGTAAATACATAAAGTATCATACACCTAAATACTACTGAGATAACAGAGACCTATAACACATTTCCTAAATGAAAAACATAGTGTTGCATTTAATGTTTAAAATGTTGATTCACAAAAACAAAATAAATACATTTTAAAAAAAAATTATTTTGTGGAAAACAAAATAAAAAAACAAAAACAAAACACATGGCATTAGTTTTACGAGTGAAATATGGAATGTAGGAGTTGGGGCGCACTGCACCCCAATATAGAACCTACACAGCAAAATATGAACCCACAAAACATCTCACCGCAGACTGAGTTATGAGATGAGCAGTAAGAGAATGCTATTTAAAGTGGTCCTTTTGCAGCCGTATATAGCCCAATTGAGGGGCAGCAAGTATTGACCCAGTGAGCACACGATAGTGCTGCTTTATGGCATTTGTCCCAAAATTTAAAATAATCAAAGAGGGATACATTTTAAGGGTGTGAGTGGGGGTGTGGCCAGGGGCAGGCTGTTCTGAGAAATTCTAAGTGACTTACTAATAACAATTAATGCAACTAAAATGCAACTCAGAACATGAGCAGTGTATCTTACTCAGACTGATTTCTAAACAGCTTTATTGTAGTTTAAAGACACATTACTGGGAGTATTAGTTTCTGTGGACCTCACACCACACACCAACAATATGGAGCTCCTAGAAAGAGGGAGAAGCATTGCGAGAGAATATATTGCATGGTAAGCCCTCTCTTAGATTTACATACAATTAAAGCACACCACAAACACATTTCAGATCACAGATATGTGGAAAGTAATTTTAACCCTCACATCAGTAGACCGTTGGCACAAATGAGCTTTCTCCATCTCTGCAGAAATTGACTTTTTTTTTATTAATGTTATCATTATTAAATTGTATTAACTTAGAGCAAGGTCCCCCATTCCCCAAATCAGAAAAATAGAAAAAAAACAAAAATTGGAAAACAGTGAAGTCTAAAAACTAAGAAAATAAAAAAAGGCACATAATGTGGAACCTTGATGAGATACATTTGGGGAATAATGCCTGATATTCTATATAAATTAGTCATAACTACTATGTTTTTTGGAACTCTATGCTTTCTCTGGATTCTAGCACACAATCAGCATCATGGTTGAGATAAGATAAGGGTTACAACTGACCAGTAAAACAAAAACCTACATGATGTCCCTTTACAGATTAAACAATTCCATCCGTATATTGTGAAAGCTATATAGCTAGGAATTATATACATATATTGCTGCCATAGAGGTACAACTGGAAATATGGCTGCCACAGATAGATGCACACAATTTAATGCCATCAAATAATATGCATGGCATCCCACAATTTCAGAGTATTGGAAACATTTGTCTGTTTAAATCTTTTGAGAGTCCCATCTTGGAATAGGAAGATGCTATGGCGTTGCCTCAGGGGGATACGGGGGCTTAGGGTGGTGTAAATTTCCCCCCCCAGGTGGCACACTGTCCCCCTTCTAGAGAGCCAACCAACCGCAAACTAAACTTGCATTCCCAAAGGGCATGTGCCTACTGTGCCAAAATATATAAAGAAGAAGTCCAGATTGGAGGGGAGTGCAGACTGCGAGGAAGGCTCATACTTCCTATGCTTTTCCTGCACAGCTTCCTCATGCGCCCTGCTGTGTGCCGGCAGCCGGGATAGAATGTCATATTCTGGCATCAGCATCACTAGAGGGCGCACATGGTAGCTATGCAGGAAGAGCAAAGCGATCCCAGCATTAACCAATTGCCACCAGGGAGAGGGCGGACTCCAGCTCTCCCAGAGCAAGTAAGGGAGGCTGTGTAGATTCTTTAAAAGTGTTTGTGTGTATGAATGTGTTGGATGATGTGTATGTCTGTGTTTATGAGTGAGTATGTTTGTGATTATGTGGGTGTTTGTCTGTGAAACGGTGTGTGTTGGTCAAGGTTATAATGTGCATCTGTATTTCTGTGCGTGTGTATGCATGAAAACGTGTATGTTTAGTAGATAGCTCCCTTATTTGGTGTCCCTAAACATGGAAATCCCACATAAGTAAATATCTACTAAACAACTTTGTTTTTCTTAGATTTGATCTTTAAGCTGTTTAGTAGATAAATTCCTACATTGGTGGGATTTATATATTAAAATAAGGCACTGTTTAGTACACAGCTCCCTGATTTGGTGTCCTTAAAAATATAGCAATCCCACATGAAGATAACAGGAGTTAGAGGAGTTATTCGCTAAACACATTAAAGGTCACAATTAAGAAGTGTCATTAGCCAGCCCAGAACAAGACTGAGTGGGTAACGTGTATTCTGTGCAAATGTGTTATCTGATGCCAGCAAAAAAACTGGCACCAGACAGCCAATGACAGTACGTTACCCCACGCCCCTTTGAAGTTATTAGTGCACCCCGCAATTTTGACTGTGTTAAATTATGCCCCCCCCCACCACCACATATAATGTACCTCGAGTCACCACTGAGTAGATGTGATATTCAAGTACTTGTCCAACTTAAAAGAATCAGATTTAATTTGCTTACACAATCTCAAAACTCTAATATATACACAACGCATTGAGTAGAACATACCTCGGAGGTGGTGTGAAGTGGTGTGGGGGAGCGATCAGAAACGGGGCCGCTTTCTGCCTCTTGAGTTTCTTGCAATGACTTTAAAGTTGAATTCTCAGTGTTGCTTCTCTGTTGCAAAGATGCTCTGTATTCTGCTACAACTGAACAAGAGGACATAACTATACATTAAGACTTAAATAATAGATTTTTTTTTTTGTGAGCAGAGAATACATATCTAAAACATGTTACAATTATAAATTAGATTTTATATAAAACCAAACACTTTCATAATAAGTCAAGGTGATGCCGGCAGAGGGCCCGTAGTCATAATCCTTTCACACTGGGTAACAGCAGTTCAGATGTAACTAAATAGATCTTAATGTTTGTCAGTTCTTAAAAATATCCGTAAATAATTATCTAAGAACATATGTCAACTGTTAAGTACTACACAGAACAACCAATTGTAAGATGCAAGTGTCTGAAAACATTGGTCTCGTAAATCAAAACCAGCATATGAAGGAGTCTAGCCCAGACTATGCACTTGAGAATTTCCCATGCATATGATGAACAGAGTCATGAGAAGTTGGGTCAAACCATGAAAGGTCAAATAGGTCCATAAATTAATCATGAACCGAACCATAAAAAAAAAAAAAAAAATATTCTTAACTGTAGATTAAATCAACTTTATGATGTTTGAAACATTGAGAGATTTGAAAGCAAAACATGAACAAAATCTAAAAAAATATTTTTTTGGACAATGCAGAAATCAGACTTCTATATTATTTGAATGCGTTGCGGATAGAGTGCAGGTAACCTTTTTGATTTCTGTTCTATGTATTTGGGCTGATGATTACTGTAATCCTTGGAGTTTAAGCACCGGACTTCATGTCGAATGTTTGTATTTGCTTTTATATTGCACCGCCATGTTACAGTGCTGCCGCTCTATCCAATGTTGACTTAATGCATCTCTATGAGGAGATGCTGATTGGCACAATGTGGCTTGCTTTTTTAAGGGAAAATATTGGTTTGGCGGAGATCTTCAATTCCGATGATCTCAGTCATAAGGCAGAACTAGCACACACGGTGCTGGAATAAAGGGGGCAAATGTGGGAGCAGCCACCTAAATTATACTTTTAACACTATAGTGTCAGGAATACACATTGTGTACCTTTAAACTAGGGATCCATCTGCTGATAGCAATACTGATATTAGCCGTGGGAATTCCTTAGGGTTACTGTTTTCTGTGACTTATCTTCCTGGATAGAGAGTTAGACACAGCACACACTTCTGGAGACAAATTATACATTACTCACTAGTAATTATAACTTCTTCACTAATGGCACAGAATGATAGGACCTCTTCAAAACCAATTCATAGATACAACAGTGAACTAGCAACAACATACATCCCCAGTCAAAATAGCTCATATTCATTTTTAGTAAAAAAAATAAGCATATTTGTTCTCTTTTATAAAACAATTTATATAAAAAGCTACTTGTCTGCTCTTCTTTTTTTTAAATATATTACTGGTTTAAATCCAGTTCACAGTACTGCCAACAAACATTAAAGCAACTGGCAAATACTACCGCAGCATTCTTAAGCATCCTTATCTTTCTTCAAAATTAGTACAAACATAAACATGACTCAATCTTCCAAATATCCTCCTATTTGGCTTGATCAATCCTGGATGATACATTGCACCCTCCCAGGCTGCTTTCTGTCTACACTCAGAGTTCATGTCCCCTTCGGAATCAAAATAGGTTATCAAAGTTCACAGTTAAATTAAGGACTGATTACAGTGGAGCACACTTAATGAGTCACGAAAGGCAGCCATAAAAGTTAGAAAATGCTTGAAAGTGTCTTCAGATTTCATCGTTTTTTTCTTCTTCCTAAATAAAAGTTGGCAGGCATTTGTGAAGTTGCAACACGTCTCACACAGCATGCCCACTCTGAAGGTCCAAATTTATAGCAGCACCATATGTGCTACCAAATCAGTACCAAGGACTCATATTGTTATACAAAAAATTACATCCTATAAAGTTTACTGTATGCCCGAGTAAAAAATAATATATCAAATCTTCTCATATGAATATAGAGATACAATTAGCATAGTACTGCAATATCGATGTAGCAGACTGCTACATCACGTAACTTGCAAAATGCAGTACACTGTGTCAGAGGAATCTGCATACATATTCCACTCTGCCATACATTTACTCTTGTGTTAGCATTGGTCATAACTCTTGGTACTCACCAAAGAAAAGATGGGCAACTCTTTGGCAGTGTGGATGTTGTGGACTACATTTAGTAGAGTACAGTCCACGGTAACTGGCAGTTAGCCAGCTATCATTTGTAATAAAGCCACTTTGGAATCAAGTCTCTCGGATTCAGAAGTTAAAAGGGACACTGTGGTAGCCAGACCACTACAGCTCAGTGCAATGTCCCTGTCTCCATTAGTCATGTAATGTAAAAAATTGTAGTTTTTGAGAAACAGCAATGTTTATATTGCTGTAGTAAGCCTGCCTCTAGTAGCCATCTACCAGACAACCACTTCTGGGAGTTTACCGGACTCTGGTTCCCTAAATGCATGAGGACATCCAGCATCTGTGAAATCTCCATAGGAAAGCACTTAGGCAAAGCTTCTATCGAGAGGGCCTAATGCGGTTGTACAAAATGCTCATTAGGTCTCCCCACTGGATGACATAGGAGGATTAGGAACCCCAAACCATCACTGAGGGACATCAGTGCTGGATACGGGTGCCTGAGGTGGGCTGCGAGGGAGAGGGAAACCAAAGGGCACTATAGTGTTAGGAATACAACTTTGCAATCCTAATACTATAGATTCCTTTAAATGGGATAGTATCCTACAGCAAGTCCGACCATGCAGATGTTAACGATAGATCTAGGAAGTACTTTAGTGTTCCATTTTTTACTTTTACAATGAGCAGTGGTCAGATTTTTGTCACATTTGAAGAATGTATGTAGCAAAATCAAAGTGGAGTTAGTGAATTACATGGGAACGGGGAGCGTTTGGATGGTATAATCCCAGTCTGTGGATATATAGATGGTCCTGATCCCCTCTGGTATCGTGTATTTATGCCAATAATCCACGTTGTGTATCTAGGATGATGCTCCAGTGATATGCGGAGAATATAGAAATAATAGAAAATAGTGCTCTCTTTTTAAAAAAAAAAAATAATAATAAATAAAAAGGAGATATACTCACAATGGATGAGCAGACAAATATTGCTCAATCGTTAAAAGAATAGGTGGTATGTCCCCCACCCGAGAATGTGAGATGCAACTTCTCCAATAAAAGATGTTCAAAGAAGACAGGGATTATACTGTCCAAAAGCAGTGATCTGAAAATGATTTAGAGCTCCAGAAAAGTGTGAGTGCAATACTTTTCTTTGTTTTTGCCTCTACTTCTTTTAGACATACTACCCTATATTTGTATTACTCTCCCATTTGTTCTTTTTTCTTTTATATTGTTCCATTGGATTCTACACATGGATTTTATCTGTAAAGTGCTGCTTCCCTAAACTCCCTGTTCCATTTGCACCTACGACCAAAAAGAAGACACTCTGGTTTGGGAAGGTTTAGCTGCTGCACATACAATGAACAAGAGCCAGAAATCTAATTTGCTGCTAAACAATGAATTACATAGACATGCTGCTTTCTCATTAGCGTGATCAATGATCACTGGACAGGAAACATCCTTAATTCTTTTAAAACCAATAGCCATTACATTTTATACCATTATATCAATACAAATAAAACTGTTATTTTCCATTGTTTCTCAAGAACCACAAAAATAGGCTTGGTAACAACTCTTAAAAAAATTTCACAACATTTTTTCACATTTAAATTAAAGTCACAATCCATAAAACCATGCAGCTGGTTTGTTTATCCCATGAGTTAATATTTTTTAAATGTATCACTCTTTGATTAATTTTAGAAGTTCCCAGGCAGCATACCTCAAGATCAGTGGAGGAACATTTATTTACTTTGGGTCATTTAGTAAGAGAGATTAATAAAATCTACTGAATTAAGGACAACGGTGTACAATTCAGATTGCAGCAAAAATATAATACAGCTAAACAAATTTATTTAGGAGGACCGTGGAGAAGAAAACTGAAGATGCACACACAGAAATCCCCTTTCAATTTGAGGTTTTACAATCTAGAACCGTCAATGCCAAATTTATAAAAAATAAATAAAAAATATAATTCCATAACAAGTATTCTATTGCAAAAAAAAAAAAAAAGGGTTTGATAAACTATTTCAAACTACACCCTCAATCTTGGTAAAGTTCAAGGAACTACCAGGATTTTAAGAGGGAGGGGGGTTGGAAGACTCAGGTGTGCTATATCTCCAGAACACTTATCCCAGATATGCCAAATTAAAAAAAAAAAAAAAAAATCCCTGCAAGTCAAGCATGTACTAATATTTATATTAGCTGGTTGTTAATATTACCTTAGGAAATAAAAGTGAGATAGATGCCATGATTAGTAAAATCACATTTTAGACTCAATGGAACAAAATAAGCAGCTAGCCATAAGACATCTGCTGTCTCACCAGTTCCAGGTCAGAAAATTTAGTACGACACCAGCATTCTCAATAAACATAGCAATGCATGTTTCAGTCCATCGCTAATGGTTTTCTCTGCAGGATGTGACATATGGACTAATTGCAGAAGGTTCCATCAAGTATTAAAGAACTGGCCAGATGGGAAGCATAATAGGACAGCCATGTCTTATTAACACACATAAACACCATTATTGTCTGCAGATTCAGATTTCGTCCAAGAACTGACACTTGAAATCACCATCTGAGGCACAGTCAGAAACTCAACCCAAATTCACCATCTGAGCAACAGCTACAAACAAGACCTCACAGTAGCGGTGTTCGCATCATCCTGCTTTTTCCACATTGGATATAAATGTGTCTGTCCCAGGGACGCTCCAATGCCAAAAGTAAAATGGATGCAATTTTTGTTCCAGTTTACAAATTGAAACATCTGTCTTCGCTACGTAGCTTGGAAAGGCTGGGGCTCGAGAAACAGTAAAGGGAAAAAAGGACACACAAAAGGGCTGTAGGGATTTTTCATGTCCACAATAACATGCTAAACAATTCAAATGTATCTAATCAAATAGACTGCTGTTAGAGCAAGTAATGCTTTCAGTAAACAGAGACCAAATTCACCCAATTCTCTGTTTACTGAATAAACCCTCAAACATGTCGTCCTAACAACCCTCAAACATTAAAACATAGAGCGTATTTGTATCCTGTAATAGCGTCTCCTACTCAGCTGATTATTTACATCATGCAAGCCTTGGTACTTAAAGGGATCAAGCAAGGGATGCCAAATGTATGGTTTTAGCGAAAAATGGAAAAACCCCATAGGTACTGTGTCACCTTATACATACTGCACATACTGTTCTGCCCAATAGTATTTGCACTAAAACAAAGAGCATGTACAAAATAACGGGACTGGCAGTTCTTCACAGGTACCTTAATCTGAAGTCAGGAGGGTAATTTAATTAATGTGGTGTTCACAAAAGATAACCAGATTAGTATAGAAATATGTAATGGTCCATGGTAGCACATTGGTGTCCACTTAGCACAAATGTGTTATTCCATCTTTCTGAGGCTTACTGCAATCCAAGGCGTGGGTGTTCTATACATGCTGCTATGTAACACACTGTATATACCCAAGTGCTTATTTTGAGGACGAGTTAATTATACACCCTGTGAATGTTTGCATTCTTTTATCTAAGAACCATGTTTTAATAAAACAATACTTTTTAATGGCTACCAAAGACAAGTGTATTTTTTTCAGTCATATTTTAAATCACAAAACTATATTGGAAGATTAAAATTATATAGTCTTCTCATTTAACTAAATTGTTGTTTTTTTATATTATTTTAAAAACACCAATATATTCCAGGCCAAGAGTGCTATAATCTATAATACAGGGGCACATTTCACACCTCTTAAACTTACTGTGCAAAAAAATGAGACAGGAGGTGGAGGGGTTGCAGACCGAAACATGTTAATAACCCAAGCCACAACCGTGTTATGAACATCAGAAGGAGGGTACTTTAACAAGGAAGGACAGCTGATGTGTTAACAAGTCAGCCAGCCAATGATGGTTGCCAAAATGCACAACAGTTGGAAACATGAAATTTAAAGATCAAGCCAACGCCTCTATTAACATTTGAATATAACCAAAATGGCTTGAAAGTTTTCGTTTGAGTTTCTAACCACAATACACTGTATGTTTGTACTCCTATTAATAAATGTATAAAATAAACACTTTTTTATAATATGCATTTCTTCTAAACTTTATATCGTGTCTGTTCAAGAATTTATTTTTCAGCCAGGTTTATTGGCTTGACAACCCCCTCCATAATGCTCCACCACATACACATTCAACATTAAATGCTGTCAAAGCAAATAAAGGTACCAGGACAGGAGATAGATCGATAGATAGATACTTTTAATTCTGAACCTTAAAGATGTCATCCATATCTTGGCACACAAAAATCTTTTTCAAAATGCATAAAAGGAGATCAGCCGAGCACTTCACATGCTTTCTGAACACCTTTGGTCCCATGATGATAGATGTCCTATAATTCTATTAAAAAATATTATTATTATCATAGCTTAAACATATTATAGAAAGTGGACATTAAAGGTGAAGAAGGCCCTGCTCAAACAATCTTACAATCTATGAGGATTTGATATAGGTGTCCCAAGGTCACTTACTGATAAGCAAGGTCACTGCTTTAGAACAGAGTTCACTTTACCACTGCTCTAACCAGCCGGTATATATCCTACTGAACCTTGTGGTGTTGGATACAATAAACATCAGGACCTCTTGGACAAGCGTATTTTGAGAAAACCCTGCAATCACAGCCTATCACTGACAGCCAGCTTTGTATTTATAATGGAGAAGTATTAGTGGCAGAAGAGGTTGTGAGCAGTCTGAGTGTCCAGTTTTGTATTTTTTGTCAAACAAAGAGGAAAAAAAACACCTTGTACCAAAACCACTACAATACCCTATATTGGTTAATGTGCTTAGCGTGTGTAGGAACTCATGAAAGATCAGGGAGGCATCCTCCAGCAGGTATAAGAATACAGCGATTTGACTGAATCAACCATTGGGAAACTGAGTTTGCCTGGATTAGCAGTACAGATTTTAAAATATGAAGTAGGAAATAAAAAAATAAGTGAAGAGTAACGTCCTGTACAACATGTTTATATTATATCATAAAAAGACTGTATAGAACAAATCAAAATAGAGACAAAGGCAGAAGGGGAAAAAATGCATTTGCTGTAAAAAACAGTTTTTCCCCAATTTCCAAAACTGGTTAGAGTGACAGGCCTGCCATCTGGTGTATTTCTTTTGTATTGCAAGAATTTAATTGCACAGAGTAACAGACGTTCTAGCCTTCGCTACAATTATTATGATATTTATAGAGCACCGTCAAATTCCGCAGCGCTTTACAATGGGTGGACGAACAGACATGTAGTTGTAACCAGACAAGTTGGACACACAGGAACAGAGGGGTTGAAGGCCTTGCTCAATGAGCTTACATGCTAGAGGGAGTGGGGTAAAGTGAGACAAAAGGTAAGGATAGTACTAGACTAGTGACAGTTGCAGAAGAGGAATCAGTCAGGAGCTATTAACAGTTTAATTGATACGCTTTTATGAAGAAGTGGGTTTTTAACGATTTTTTTTAAGGAGTGGGGACTGGGTGAGCATCTAACGGAGGAGGGAAGCGAGTTACACATGAACGGTGCAGCCCTTGAGAAATCTTGAAGGCGAGCAATAAAATAATAAATAAAACAATAAAAGCAATGCATTGTATGAGAGAACCTATTTGAGCACAAAGTATTATAAATGCACACAAACTGTGTTTACCCTGGCTAATGGTGGAATGTCACTTCCAGAATGTAAGCATCTAGCTTACTTTCTATAAATACAATGGTTTGGCCAGCTACTCAAAAAAGTGGAAAATGCTTACATTCGATGAGGATTTGAGGTAGGTGGATGTACATCATTAGGTGTCTGACTCAAGGACACTCACTGGTAAGGTGGTCTGCTGGGCATTTGATTTTAGATTTCCCAGTTCTAACCGCTCTAACCATCTCCTTCCAATGAATATTCTTTGATGGAAGGTGTAATAAGGACCCTTGTAATCAAACTTCCTTAGGAACGTAAGTGAACTGACGCACCAAGTCAAAGAATGTCCAAAGTGGTCTGGAAGGACAGACGGAACCAGAGGGTTCCCAGTATAATACTTTATTAGACAGAGAACTCCTGAAACCATAACCACTACAGACCATTGCCATGTTAATTGGGCTTATAGTGCTTCTTTAAATAGCACTGACATGTCAAACTTAAATTGGGGTCACTTTATGAGGAAAAACAAATCAAAAACATTTTTCAAAGTCTAGAACCAGGGTTGGCAACCTTTGGCACTCCAGAGGTTATGGACCAGGTCTACCATAATGTTGGCAAAGCATAATGAGAGATGTAGTCCACCACACATGGAGTGCCAGAGGTTGCCCTCAGTACAGATTACAAGTCACAAATGTCTTCTTTGACCATCAGCATAGACATAAACACTAATATATGGCAGCCATGAGCAGCTGTGCAGGAACCATAACCCCACAACTCCTAGTATACATTTGCACAAATAATCTACAAGGAAGCAAAGTAAAAAACAAACAAACACAGGTAAAAAGCATTGTGTCTAAAAGTAAAGAAAGAGTGCCAGGAAGGACACGTGCCATTATGAAAGGACCACTATAGGAACCCAGACCACTTCAGCTTAATGAAGTGGTCTGGGTGCCTGGTCCCTTTAGGTTTAACCCTTTTTGCTGTAAACAGCAGTTTCAGAGAAACTGCTATGTTTACAAATGGGTTAATCCAGCCTCTAGTGGGTGTCTCATTGACAGCCGCTAGAGGCGCTTCCACGCTTCTCACTGTGATTTTCACAGTGAGAAGACGCCAGCGTCTATAGGAAAGCATTGAAAATGCTTTCCTATGGACTGACTGAATGCGCGCACGACTCTTGCTGCGCATGCGCAGCCAATGATGACAGAAGGAGAAGGAGAGTCCCCAGCGCCGAGGGAGCCCGGTGCTGGAGAAAGGTAAGATTTTAACCCTTTCCTCCCACTTCAGCCCGGCGGGAGGGACATATTAACACTATAGTGCCAAGAAAACAAGTTTGTTTTCCTGGCACTATAGTGGTCAGGGCCGGACTAGCCATCGGGCACACTGGGTAAATGCCCGGTGGGCTGCGGTGGCCATGGGCAGAGGCCAGCAGGGGAGATCACAGGACATCCCCTGCCGGACTATGCACTATCAGAGCACCGGCCCCACTGTATTCCATGGAGGGCCGGTGGGGAGATCAAAGATCTCTCTCACCGGCCACTTTCATAGACCTGCGGCTAGGGAGGGAGAGGAGGACCGCCAGGTTCCTCTCGCGAGATCCAGCGCTTGCCAAGGATTGCCGGCCCCATCCCACTCTCTCCCAGGTACCAGCGTGCCGGTCCCCTCCTCCCAGGCAGGGGATATAATGCGTGCTTTTTTAAATTTTATCCCCACCTCAAACACTCAGTCCCTTCTAACATTCACACACAGCACTCACACATCACTCTCAGCACTCACACAGCACTCTCACACCCATCACTTTCACACAACACAGAACTCTCACACCCATCACACACAGCCCTCTCACACATAGCACTCTCACACCCATCACACACAGCCCTCTCACACACACACACACACACATCACCCACAGCACTCTCACACAACACAGCACTCTCACCCATCACACACAGCACCCTCACACCCATCACACACACCACCCAGCACTTTCTCACTTAGCCCTCTCACACACAGCCCTCTCACACACACACACACACACACACACATCATAAACAGCACCCTCACACACAGCACCCACACACATCACCCCTCAAACACAGCATCCATCACACACACATACTGCACCCTTCACATACACACTACATCCCTCTCAGACACCCACTGCATCCCTCACACATACACACTGCACCAAACACACACACAATACCGAACATATTTATATTATATACTACAGCACCCCTCACACACATACTGCACTCCTAAACACATTACATTCCAGACACACACTAGATCCCTTACCTAACTCTGGATCATATACACGCACTAGATCCCTTTATACACTCTGAATCCGTTATATATACACACACACACACACACACTCACTAGATCTCCTACACATTTTGGGTCCTTCAAACACACACTAGACTCCTGTATACACACACTGCACCACCCACACACACTACATTCCTAAAATACACACTCTGGATCTCTTATAAACACACTAGATTCATTGTAAACAAACACATACTATACCCCTAAACACACACTCTCTACAACCCCTACAAACACTACATCACCTATACACACACACACACACTATAGCCTGTATGCACACACTTACTACATCCCCTAGCCACATATGCATTACATTACACTACACCAAAAACACAACACGACTAAAACCGACCTTATTACACAATACCACACCACAATCAGCTCACTCTACACACACGCAATCCCACAAGCAGGCTCCGAACACATGCATAATACTCTTTCCTGGCCTTTTTGTCTCCTGGTATCCATTTATAGAGACACCAGAGACAAGTTGCAAGGAAACAGAGTGCAAGCATGTTATTAAATTTGCTTGCACTGTGCAGAACAAATACAGGGCATTTTTCTCATGCTAGAGCTCTTTAGCAGAGTTCTGCACATGGTCTGCCCTGGAAGAGCACTGAACCAACATGCTCACTTTGACAGGGGGCATGTTTGTCATTGGTGACGGCGAAACACACCCTCTCTGCCCCGCCCCCTTCTTAGTGGGCCGCTGTAATAAAAAAATACCCGGGCCGAATTTTTCTCCCAGTCCGGCCCTGATAGTGGTCTTTTAAATTATATGTTCAGACAGAGAAAACAGCAAAAGGTTAGAACAAGTTCACATCAAGTGCCCTCCTATTTGATTAAGCATTTCTTTAAATGGTTACTCCTGGCACCATCAGCAATTCAGTGTTTTGAAGTGGCTATGGTGCATTTCAGTTTAAAACACTGCATATATGGAGATATTTTTTGTTACTGACAGACTATACCTATCCCCAGCAGCATCATCAGTCTGCCCCAAGGAGAGTTCCAGGCTGGCTTACGTTAATTATGTGAATACTATTTGCATGGGGGGGGAGGGTCATTCATTGGCCAAGAGAACTCACTTGATGCGCGCAGTAAATGAATGACGCCAGGATCGGCATTCGGTTTCTGTAGCCCTTCAGAAGCCAGATACGCATCAACTGGCATTAGAGAAGCCTCTCCACCCAGTGGGAGCCTGGAATTGCTCCATTATCAGGGAATAGCACCAGGATACTCCTAGCGAGCTGTATTGGTTATGATGCTTGGAATAGCTCTTTAAGAGACATTCTCATAAAACTAAACTAATAGTTTCAAATACGTTTAAAATAAAGCTAACCTGAGATATTTCAGCCAGTCACCCTTAACAATAGAGTTTGACATAGCAATTCATTTTGAAGAAAGTTAATGGGTAGTAGAGAATCAAAAGTTACCCAAGTCATGTTAATGCTAATCAAATTAGTAAAATATATCGAATGAGTAATGCGAAATGAAAAGGAACATCATGCATTACTTAATATTGATTGAGGAATATTATATCCAGTTACAAAACAGAATAGATCATTAATCTTACTCAATGTGCTGAAAATACATAATATAATCTGTAACGATTATGTGACACTAGCAGAGCACAAAGGGGAAAAAAAAGTAACAAATGCAAATTATTTTTTATTTAGCACCTTTCAACTTCTCCAGGTAAAAGGTAAACTTCTCAGCTATCTAATATTCTGAAATCATTTTCTCTCCTCGCACCTGCAGAAGACACATTGATCGCAGCAATGATTGCTTTAAGAGATTTCAAAACACTTCTTTCAAAATATCCAGAGACAGGGGAAATAACTGAATCAGTGCATCACTGTCTCAGAGAGACCTAATGCATCTCTATAAGTTCAATTTACAGATTAAAGGGACACTGTAGGCACCAACATGGTCGCCACCAGAAATTTTGGGGCCCCTGACAAAGCACAAGTTCATGCTACATAATTTTGAAAATCTGTTGTTTTTTGTCCCCCCCCTTAAATTAAAAACGATGACAAGCAAAATGTTATGCATTGCATTTTTTGGTGAAGAACACCGCTCATATTACATATAGGGAAGCAGTAAGATTAAAGGGACACCCCAGTAGTACATTAAGAGCAGCGTATAGGGAAGAAGACATATAGGGAGGCAGTAAGATTAAAAGGAACACCCCAATGTTCTTGATAAGTCTCACTTTAGTGAATATTACTACTGGGGTGTTCCATTAATCTTACTGCTGCCCTCTATGCAATGTGAGTGCTGCTCTTCATCAAGAAATGCAATGCATAACATTTTGCTTTTATTTAGAACATGGACTGTTTAGTTTATAATTTAGATTCCTTGGTCCTCTTGCTATTACTTACCCTGTGGTGAGACATGTTAATCCAATCCTTTGTCTAGAGAAGCACAGAAACAAATGTTCATCTAAGAGAATCCCTGACTTCCACCTTGAGCGTTCCATGTGAAGAAGGAAGAGAAATCTCGCAGAGGACTAGGTGACCACCAGAGAGGTCTCATCAAAAGGGGAGGGGGGTATAAAAGTGCTAATCTCTCTTCAAATCTGTGCATTTGTAACATAAAGCTACAGGGTACACCGTTAACCCCTAAAATACTTCAAACAGTGGTGCTTTTATGATTTGGAGTGACCTTTTAAAGCGGTCTCAGATTGAATTCCATTTATATTTTCCCATGAGTGTTTGGGCATAAATACATAAATAATAGAGACACAGTTTACCTTAAATGGACAGTATGATTAAAGATCCATTAAGCTTTTTGCTTACCTCTGTAAAAGTCTGCGTTCCTCAGAAAAACAGTGGTGTTGACAATGGCCAGAACCCAGCACAAGGGCAATAGGTAAAGAATGCAAACCGAGCCCAGCAATAACCCGTAAAACCTGAGGATGGTGAAAATATTAAAATCAGCTCTTTATATGGGAAACAGGGATAAGAAAACATGATCTAACATTAGACTCTTGGCACAATTTTATCAATGGCCCATTCCAATCACTTCACTTTCTAATGTCAATGCATGTCTTATCGCTCTGAGAGTGGGTGCTGATTTACTGAACGCAGGATAGCCGCTAATAATACAGCAGGCATGGGGAGAGTTCTTTATTTTGTGACCAGTAGAGATGTTTGTATTATTTAATATTTGGGTTATTAAATCATTCATTTCTGTCGGAACAGTTATAAATAGACTAATATGTGACAGGCATGCTGAGAAGTGAAAACTCTTGCAAACTTCTTTGAATATTACTTAAATAATACATGCCACCTCATTTTAATATAATAATTCTTTCAGCAAGTTTTGAAAGGGAATAGATTTATTTTAATGACGTTTATATAAAAAACGAGAACAACAAACCGCTGCCTTTAGTATATGACATGATCCTTCAGCCATATACATGCACCTTGGGTCAGACAGTGTTTGAAAACCGACAGTCTCAATGGTCCTCTCTGCGTCTGTTCAGATAGTGAAACAGACTGTCTGAGCCAAGGTGCATGTATATGGCTGAAGGATCCGGTCATATATTAAAGGTAGGGATGAGTATTGTTGTTTTACAGGAAGGTAAGTACAGAGGGTTGGACTCAACCAACTCTGTTCTTAAAGGGATACTCCAGACTCCTGAAGCACTCGCTTGATGACGTGTTTTGTATGTGAAGAGAGTGCTTTGTTTTTGTTTTTCATTTTACAAGAAATGCAGATTTCAAAAGAAATTGACATTTTATACCTTGTTACACCCTGCTGTCAAACAACTGGTCCTTTTACTTCCTGGTAGTTTAGGTCAGTGGAGCTAAACTCAAGAGGCAGCAATTACCCAGAGCGCCTGCCTTGCACAGACTTCGCATTGAGCGGAGTAGGGAAGTCTGTGATTGGACAGCCACAGAAAGGCTGGACTGAGGAAACCGGAAATGGCTTACAAAGGCTGCAGAAAAATGATCTACAGCTTTTGCAAGTTGTTTTTAGAGAAACTGCAATAATTACATTGCATGACTGAGACTCTCTCTAGTGGCTGTCAGATAGCCACTAAAAGCACTTCCTGCTTGCTGGGTGAGTTTTAGATGCCTAACTGATGCTGGACGTCCCAACAATCTACATGATAACACCCAGAGTAATAAAATCCCCATAGGAAGCTTTGCAGCAATGCTTTCCTATGTAGACAGCCTAATGTGTCATTGGACAGTAGTTTTTATTTTTATTTGACTTTTTTTGTTGAAACAATAATGATTGAACTTTAAACACTCTCAGCAACTAAGAATAACTCCATTTATACCCCCACTGAAAAGATAAATGAGCTAAGAATTGACCAGAAGTACCTCTTCAATCCAAACCCTTACTAATCCAAGTCTAAGTGCAGGTGAGAGGACTGAAGGCAAGATACCAAAAAATGTAAATCCCTGGAAACCTGCACGTGTGAAATCTAGAAGTGTCTTTTCTACATTTGCTTTTTTGTTGTTGTTGTTTTAAGCATGATGTATATAAAATTTATTAAGAATGGGTGGCAGGTAAATCCACCATGTAGTATCCCTTTAAGAAATACTGAAAAGTGTATTGTAAATTCAGATTCTTGTAATTTGCAATAAATTAAATAAAATAAACTTTACAATATTTTCCTTAGAAAAAGGGAAAGGGGAAGTTACCATGTAATAAACTAAAAAAAAGAATTAATTATATCTGAACAAAACTTTCAACAAAGGGGAATGCAGTTTGTATTAAAGAAAAAAAAAATTAAGAGAAATCAGTTTTTTTATTTTTTGTATAATAAAAAGAAATACAGAGTCACTGACAACAGCCGAATAATACTAGAGGAAATTGAGAGAAGAACTTTAATTTATTTATAATTTTACATTTTTGGCAAATTAAGCGAAGAGCTATTTATTTTGGAAACAATTTACCAATTTGCATATAAATTAACCACAATTCACGCTTTAGTAAATATATGCTTAAAGGGATTTGTTTGAACAACTTCAATCTAAATAACACCAACACAAATCCCTCAATCCCAATGTAAAACAACAAACACAGAAGTCATCATATACCATTAAATATCCTGAAATTTGATTTGTAAATATTTTTTGAGATAGGGTCTGTGCATTCTTGACAAATCTCACTTTAGTGAATAACCCTAAAAATGTTTAAGTAAATTTCACATTGAAGGTCGAAATAGCTAAAATGGCAAATATTTTCCACTGGTGAAATTATAGAACGTTTTGTTTAATCTTGTTCTCTGAATGTGTGGCTAGATTGGGATGCCTTCTTTTTTGGACACAGTATTTTAAAGAGAACTGTTTGCCTGTTCCTCATGACTGGCTTGAATAGTTTTGTTTGGCATCTAAGTTCTACAAATATTTGTCAAACTCTGTAGAAGAGAGGGTAGCAACATATCCACACAGAGCAATGTTAAAGTAGCTGACGCACTTCAAAAACAGTTCAAAAGCTACATTGTCCAAAACCACTGATCTTGATCAAACCCTTTAAAAAACACAAAACAAATATTATTTCAAACACTTAGGCATAACATCAGCAGAAGATCTCTATTGTGACAAGCAAGCCATTTCTAGTTACCTTACTGAATTATCAAACTTTGACACACATTGTAGCCAAAGAAGATTTAACAAAGAGAAAGAAAAAAAAGACAGAAAACATGTTCATGAGATTAAAACTGAACAAACAAAAACATCACGAGCACTCAGCAATTTAACTGAAATCCCTGTATTCTTTGGAGTATAAATAAAATGTTTATTTTCCCCTATGGCTATCACTTTACTAGTCCATTTAGTATATTTCAAGCAATTTGGTCTAATTTGTATTATATAATTTTCACCCGATTATCCATGTAGCTAAATTAGTCCACTCACACACAATGAGAGCTTTACTTATCTTACCAATGGGAGCACTTGCTACTTTGTGTTTTCAAATGCATTTTGAAAGCAATTGAGACAATTTACTCTAAAAGTTTCATTTTGTGTATATTTCAGAGTGTTCTACACCGTAAAGTACTCATCAGTTACTTTGTCTATAGAAAACAAGTACTTTTATTCAAAACTGGAATATCATCATGGGAATATTAAATAGGCTGTGTCATAGATCAGCCGTGCCCCAAATCACTCTCTGCATTTCATTGGCCATTAGAAAGCCTTATACAGCTTTAATATAGAACACTCTGGACATTAAAGTAAACCTTTTTGAGGAGTCCATAAATGATGGCTGCATGGTGACATCACATAGACACGTCAATATATTATTATTTTTTACATTCTTAAAGGGGAACGGTCACTTTTCAGGATTATTATTATTATGTATACTCATCCTCTATAATTAACAAACGTGTTTGTGATGCTTGAAAAGAAAAAAAAATAATGCAGAAATCCACATAGCTGTAATTATATATATCCAGAAACAAGTTGCCTCCATATTGGCTCCCTGTCACTCTGCCATTTTAACTGGTCATTCAGAATAGGAGGATGAACAGAAACCGGGTTTCTGTTTCAACAAAACCAAGGAATATGAGAATTCTGAGGCAAAAGCTTAGAGAAACTCATTAGCTTGCCCTTTGGTAAATCCCTGCTAAGGTCTCAAAATTGTCTTTGCTCACTTGTCCCATTACAGCGAGAACATATTCTGAATCATATCGGACTGATCCCACCCATAAGGGCAGTCCAGTGCCAAATGCCAGCAAGTCCTCTCTGCACGAAAAATACAGTACTCCCAGATGATCATTTTAGCCTTCTGAAGGCCTCCTCGGTGAGGTGTAGTGGATACCCCTCTAGGCACAGTGAGCACAGGGTCCACGCCATTGCTAATGCATTGCAACAAAATCAAGGAATATAAGAAATCAGAGAAACTCAAAAGTTCCAACAGTCAAGATGAGTATTTCAAGTCAGCTGCAACAATTAACTCTAAAGCATTAATCAGCTTAACAAGGATATTTACTAAAGACTGTATTGTCAGGAATTCATAGAACATATTTTATGCCAAAATTTACTAACTTAAATTGTACATGTTTATGTTAATTTTTTCCAATTCAACTATTACAGCCTAAAGGGTTATGTTTACTTTGAATGCAAATGTTATATTTATATATATTTTTTTTATTATTATATACAAAATAAAAATATATACACAAAAAAATTTACTCATCTTCTATCTTCCCAGGAAAATCATTGTATATGCTTAAATCGCTCATAAGATGTTTATCCCAAAAAGCAGTTCTATCCATCACACAGAATGAGTGCAACTGTTCTAAAATTTGATATCAGTTATACTGAAAATATGTGGTCTGCAATTTGGCTCTCCACACAGAGATCCCTCCAAATTATGTATGTAAAGTGCATTTGACAAAATGAACACAGGTAACCTGGCAGGACAATCTCGTTCCAGGCATTGCCAGCGATTTTTACAAAATCTCAACTGTCAGATCCGAAGGAAGGCGCAGGTTCACTTTAATACTATAAAATCACAACTATTGAGAACATATGCAAAAAATGAATTACGATGATTAGGTCTCAAAAAGGTTTAATATCGCTTTGAGTACTTACTGAGCTGATGTGGATGGATTCTGCCAGTAAAGAACTTGGTAGACTTTCTCACAGTTCCCACAGATCGTATTCAGTATGCTCTCGAGGTGAATTAAACTACAGAACAGAAAAGAAACAGCAGTTTTATAGTCATTATTTTGTTACAGATTACTTGGCTATCAAAGGTTAGGCATTCGTTTGGAAGCAGAAGAGTCCGACAACTCAAAAAGATCAGAAATGCATTTCATTTGATTAGGTATAACATTTTTCAGCAATGGGACTAAAGTCAAGGAAACTACCATTAAACCACCGACCTCATGAACTACGAGAATCATAACTTGTTTTCCCCCAAATAATGAATCCTTTAATTTTCAATCAAAACAGGTTATAAACACACACATATATACACACACACACACACACACACTGCTTTTTTCCCCACTTGCTTCATTTAATCTCAGATGTAATATTGGATTTTTTAACCCCTTAAGAACACAACTTCTGGAATAAAAGGGAATCATGACAGAATATTTCCATCATGTGTCCTTAAGGGGTTAATTATTAATTTGGCAATTAAAAAAAAAAAAAGAAAGAAAGAAAAAAAGACCCCATCCAGAATGTTCCATGCAACATTACTGTTCCATGAAATATTAAATTTAACTTTACAGGCATCAGTTATATTGTCCATCACCTTCCCCTTAGTGGAAAGTGTTGAACAAGTGGCAGGTTTGTCTTTCCGATCAGGCAGAGTATTAACTAAACCCTTCCATGAGCTACCATACAATAAATCCCAATAATGGACTAAAGAGTTATGTGCTGTATGTCATCATATGAGTTACCCAAAGGAGAAGAGACAGCATTCACTGTTTGGAAGCACTATATAGAGGACACGGTGCATGCAATCCAGAGGGAAAATACTCCCATACACTTAAAAGTACAAAAGGGTCTGGCACACAAATTGTCCAAAACACAGATTTATTTGTAAAACATGGCAACATTTTATCACTAAAATGGCTTTTATCAAGTACATGTTACAGACTTTGAAAAACGTACATCTTAAAATATCTTGTGCTGATTAAAACCACGTTGTTATCCAGCCTCTAATGCAGAGATCTCAGAGTCTGGTCCCCCAGATGTGGACGGTCTACAACTCCCAGAATTCTTTAATTTGCAAAAGATGGCCAGAGAATCACAGGACTTGTAGTTCAGTGACATCTAAAGGGCCACATCACTGCATTAGACAGACAATTCCTAATGTCTCTCTACCCTTTTCCTCTCAGTAGCTTTCTCCATGTCTCTCTTGAGGTATGTGTTCTGGTCTATACCTCAGGTCTGTCCCCATAGTACCAGTGAGTGTCTCAGTCAGTGTCTCTATCCCAAACACCTTTGTTTTTTTCCTCTTCCCAGCCCTTCTGTGTGTCTCTTCTCCCTTGCCCCTTTTTGTCTCTCTTCTACCCCAGGTCCTCTGTGTGTCTTTGTCCCCTCCAGCCCTTCTGTGCAAGACTTTTCCCACCCAGCCCATCTATATGCCTCTTCCTTCCCTCCTTCAGCCCTGAGTGTGCTTCTGCTCACCACCCCCAGCCCTCTCTGTGCATCTCCCCCCCATACTTCCTCCCCCATGCCAATTCACTTCATTCCTCCTGTGAAGCATAGCCGAGCGTACCTCAGTAGAGGAGCTTCTGGAATCTCTACCCGGTCTGACTGGAAGCTGTTCAGTGCTCTCAGTGAGCACTTTCTGACAGAGCGAGTAGAGGATAGAGAAATTCCTCTACTGGGGTCTCAAATTCTGAGCTGACCAAGAGGATTATAATAGAACTACTGGAGCATTCACAGGGCTTGTGAACAGTAGGAAGCCTGACAGTGTATAATACATCATTCTATATGTATGATAACTGATAAATGTATTCTATACCTACACAGGCAAAATTTTAGCCCTCTAAAAGAGCCATCTTGCTTTTCTACCAGACTACAATTCTACCCGACTACCACACATATGTAAATGCATACATATACATACACACACACACACATACATTGTATCTCTAAACTATATGTTACAAAAAAATGCTATGGTCACAAGCATCTTTATGTTGGTTATTTTGATAACGAAGCAGAGTTTATATACAGTGGACCATGGGAAAAAAACATTATCAAAACTTCCAGACTTAATTTGTTGATTAGCGTCCTTTTGAATGGTCCTCATGCCTCTCCTGTGAGATTCAAACTTTACATAAATTGATTATGTAACGGCGGCTTTCTAAAAGGCAGGATATGCCAACGTCTACATTTTAATGAACTAGCTACTGAATAATTTACTCCCTTCCATGTAATGGTATTATCTACACATCCTTTCAGTGAAATACACACAAGTGGTGACCTGTTCATTACAGCTCATTAATGAATTAAAGGGACACATGCAAGCAGCATAACCCCTACAGTTTAATGCAGTATTTATGCTGCCATGAGGAAATGGGCAAATATTTTTTGGGGAAAAAAACTAAACAAAACCAACCTAAGTCACATGCTTACACCATAACCATGAAAATGTAATCTGTAAGGATAAAATTAAAAGATCAGGATAGGTAGACTAGGTAAGCCAGTACAGTACTTTTTGATATAATTTATTGTGAAAAGATCCGTTGTGGGTGTAAAATTGCCAACAATAAAACTTCGAAGTGGGTGGCCATCATGGAGCACAGGGTAAAGAAAGATAAACTAAATAAGCCTGTACTTACAAGAATTTAAACTCCGCTACAGCTTCCTGGCGGGAAAGTTTAACTTTTTGGAGTTCTTCACGCCGAACGCTGTAATATTTCCTCCGTGTAAGATCTGGTTCTGGTAAGTGTACTTGTGACATCTCTTGCAGATATCCAATCAGTGCAGGAATGGAGATAATTAGAGCTCCCACTGAGAACCATGCCACTGGAAAAACAGTTAATCATAATGAAAACAGACCATTGTTAATGTATTTAAGCAGTCTTTGCTGTACTATATATATATATATATATATATATATATATATATATATATATATATATATACACACACACACAGAGAGAGAGAGCTATAGTTGTTATGGTACTTAATGTCCCTTTAGCCAGAAACAGTTGTGTGGAAGTGTAATTCTCATACAACAACTGCCCGTGGATGGGATCAGCTTGATATGCAAATAGTACACGTTTGACTCCTGAGTGGGAAGGGACAAGGGAAAAAGGAGAGAAAAAAAAATATGCAAGCACCACAGAGGGAAATAAATCAACTCACCCCTGGAAGTTAGAGAATGCAACATAAAAAGGAGTGTCTATGCTATAACACCCCCCGGCAATAAAATAAGCTTTAGAGATAGAGAGAGAGTTTACCTCCACACCAGAGTTATTATTTTATTAATTATATAGCGCCAACAAATTCCATAGCGCTGTAGTTAAAGGAACACTAAAGGGTCAGGAACACAAGTGTGTATTCCTGACCTTATAGTGTTAACACGTAGGGTCCCTGTCCCTCTTACACTCCTCTCCCCTTAAATGCATGGGTCTCCCTGCGCTGGCCCTGCCCAGACCCACCTCCTTGGCTGACATCAGGATTGAGGATCTCAGCAAGTCACAATGTTTTCACTGTAGGATCCCGCAGGAAAGCAAATAGATTGGCCAAGATTGTCAATTCTGATGATCTGAGCCAAGGAGGCGGGCAGGGGCAGGGGAAGACGCTGCCGTAGCCAGTCAGCATCTCCTCATACAGATGCATTGAATTAATACATTTATATGGGGAGCGTTCAGCATCCTAATGCAGAGAGTGGAGAGGCTGAACGTTAATGCTGCACACTGTACAGACCTGCTCCAGGAAGCACCTCTAGCGGCCATCTGAGGAGTGGCCAGTAGAGGTATCCCTAGGCTGTAAATGTAAAAAACTGTGTTTACTGCAAAAAGCCTTCAGAGACATGCTATACTCACCAGAACAATTGCATTAAGCTGTAGTTGTTCTAGCGACTATAGTGTCTCTTTAGCTATTCATTCATCCTCTATGACAGAGTTCCCAGCGTGCTGACCACGACTAAATTCTCAGGTTATACCCCAAAGCACAAACAGTGCACCGAAATAATGGACTGATAGAACTGGTACTTCAGATTTGGCTCAGCAAAAAGACTATTGCTCGCATTGTTCACTCCTGTTCGGATGCTCAGATATCACAAACAACTTGTTTTACTGACCACATCTGGTTCCTACTCCTTCCTCTGTAAGCTTGTGTACCGGACTGTTTAAGTGTTGCCAATCTGTGCCTCAGATCTTGGACATGCTTCTTCTAATAGCTCCAACAAAAAAAATCTTACTACTGCCATTACTTGGAAATTGCATTTTGAGAGAGATAGATAGAGAGAGATAGACAGACATTTCACAACGTATCAACTACTCTTAAAGGATACAATGTACTATTTTGGCATCATGTAATGTAAGGGTTTACACACACACACACACACACAAATAAATTCAGATTCGTTCAGTTAACAAAGGAACTTTATGAAATGTACTGCCAATTTGGCCAGCATAACATCATGGTGAAATTTTTAGCCTCGGGCACAAGCGTGTGAAGATTTTTGCTGCCATGGGCAAAGAGACATTCTTCCATCCCATTTTCAAGCCTCGCCACAGGCATGACATACCGTTTGGATTCCACTTTAGATTTATCATCTACTCTTTTATCCACATACCGGATTTGTGACAAAGCAGTATACAGATTGGTTACGATGGATATTTTATATTAGACACCTGGTCTTTATTGCTAGTGAATAGATCACTTAACAGGTGTATCAGACAGTGATCACAAGCACAAAGGTCAATTTCAAACAATATTGTCCCAGCAGGAAGAACAAATGCTTAACTGCTCTTCTTTTACAATCAGTTTTAGTAAAGTTCTGTGTACAGGCAACAACCAACATAGAGCAGGTTAAACTACATATGCATGATCCGCATAGTGTTGACAGATGTATCTAGCACATTCCAGCTCCCAAACTGAAAGAGCAAATGGCAGTCTTCATGTATACATATATAGATACTGATTGGTTCTGATAAGATGCAATTAACTTTTTTTGCAAACTCCTTTAACCTTGAGTGAATAGTTTGTGGGCCTCCCAGATGTTGTTGGACTACAACTCCCATAATTCTCTGATGCAGTCTTACAATTAAGAGAGAGTGCCATTGCATGCACATGAAAAGTATTTATTTATACACATATAGATGACTATACGTATTAGATATAAAATCAGGGTTATTCACCAATGTAGGAATTATCAGCAGTTAACAGGAAATGTCATATCTAAGGTCAAAATAGCGGAGTTGAAAACATTCTCCAAGTCTGAGTATGCTTCCAGTTTGGGTATTTTGACTGGCAGAAATCCAGAGTGAATTTCACTTTAGTGACTAACCTGGTGTATAAATATTATACTGATACATTAGGACATGTCTGTCTTATATTTTCATGTACCTCTCTTAAAGGGGCTATACATTTAACACACACACACACAAAACGTTGCTTTGAAAGGAATAAATACAATTTAAAAAAACAACACTCATTTGGAGGTACCCCTGGTGGCTTTTCTAGTTTGGATCCATAAGGGACGCCATAGTTGAGAACAACTAATGTATAGATGCTGCGATGCCAGTCATGGGGTAAATAAACATGGAGTACACTACTGCTCAGAGAAGAATATCACTCTGTGCCAGTAGAAATGGTCCTATTTACTAACTTTTATCAGCTCTGTAGAGATCTGCTAAAGGCTGTTTTAGCTTGGGTTTCTTCAGCAATATAGAACCGGATTAGTCGTTAACAGTCTAATACACAGACCTCACTTTGCATGTGCCAGCCAGTTACATAATAGACTGTTGGAAGTGTGCCTTTTCATATTACAATCCTGTTATATCCAAACAGCGCACAGGCCACATAATACTGCACACGTCAGCTGAGGCACACCTAACATAATAAACCAGTCTCGGCAAGGCATGGATTGTGCAAGTTTTTTTTTTTTGTTTTTTTTTTTAAATCCTTGTTTTGCTATTTACTTACTGAGCAGCTAAACCTACAACCTCTTTATTATATTGTGTAAACACACAGACACAATTCCAAGATTGTAATCTAGCATATTTGGAAAGAAATAAAATTGTATCAGTAGATTATATATTAAATGGATACTGTAGTGCCAGGAATACAAAGCTGTATTCCTGACACTACCGATCCCTCTGCCTCCCCCTTCCCTCCCCGGTAAATAAAGGGTTAAAAACCCTTTATTTACTTACCTTATCCCAGCAATGATGCCCCTCGGTGCTGGGTTGAAGCTCCACCGAGGGACATCAGCATTCTGAATAAGTGCTTTCCTGATGCTGGAGGTCCTCATGCAGAGCATGAAACTCAGCTATAGTCCATACACAAATTGTATATCTGTATATGAGCGTGTGCGGACACATAAGCGCATGAAGTCTTCCACAAGATGGCAATAGGGCTGGATCAACCCTGTATAACATCCATTGTGGGTTGCAACAAGTATAAGTATAAGTTAAAATTAAATAAAAATTTTCAAATATTAAATCCTTTAAAAAATAAACAAGGCAATTATTTAAAAGGTTATCCAGAAATAGTAGATTAAGGCCTATATCTGAACGCAAAATGTATGAACTTGAGAACATAATTTTCACATAAAAAGTGCACTTTAGACAGTTCCACTCAACAAACCACATAAAATAAATAAATAAAAACACATCACATTAGACCTTGTGAAAAGCTGTCACCACGTTTATTTTTCTTATATATGAAGAGAGATGCATGCTTGTTGCAGGAGTAAGCACAGACAATGGACATATGTATGTTTCTATCAATCCACTGAGAAGCAATTTCTTAAAAAGGAAACTCCACTGTCTAAATATAAAAAAAAACAACAAAAAAACAGTTTTTCGATATTTGCAAGTTCTCCCTTTCTAACTCCACCCAGCTTTTCTTTGGCTGTCCAATCACTGACTTCCCAATGCAGCTCAATGAGAAGTCTTAGCAAAGCAGGTGTTGTGAGCTCCACTCAGCAAAAGAACCAGGAAGGAACACAACCGGTTGTGCAATTGACAACCAGGGGTGTGTAACAAGGTACATTTTAAAAAGTGCCAACTTCTATTAAATTCTGCACCCTTTGAAAAAATGGAAGAAAAAAAAAAAAAAAAAGAAGGACACTTCATGCATAAAAGAACTTTAGCAAGCTGAAGTGCTTTAGGTGTCTGCAATATCTCTTTAATCATAGATCTCCACTGGAGTGTCTGTAATGTACTTAAAGGGACACTATATTCAACAGAACAACTACAGCTTAATGTAGTTGTTCTGGTGAGTATAATCATTGCCTTGGAGGGACACCTCCAAGTGGCCACTCCTCAGATGGCCACTGGAGGTGCTTTATGGCTCAGTGCTGCACATTAGGTAGCCGTGCCATTCAGCGTCCCCATACTCTGCATGGGGATGCTGAATTTTCCTCATAGAGATGCATTGATTCAATGCAGCTCTCTGAGGAGGTGCTGATTGGCCAAAACAGTGTTTGGCCCCGCCTCTTGCCGATTTCAGCCAATCCAATGCTGTCCCCATGGGAAAGCATTCGATTGGCTAAAAATTGGCAATTTTGATGATGTCACCAAGGGGCTGGGTGACATGCCAGAGGACCCGCGCGGTGCTGGAAATAAGGTGAGTATTCATTGCTTTTAAAGGGGGCTACGGGGGTCAAGCCACCTAAATAGTGGTTTTAACACAATAGGGTCAGGAATACATGTTTGTGTTCCTGACCCTATAGCGTTCCTTTAAGGTGACACTGTTACCAACAAGGCACTTTGCAGAACTGTGACATCGCCAATGAGGTTCCAGTAGCTGGAGAAGAGTCCAGGAAAGGAGAGTTCTACCTAGCTGAACCGATCCCTCCTGCATGCCGCCATCTTCTTGTAGTGTGTCCATTTTTTTAGCTCCAGGAGCCGACATCCCTGTTGTACAGCATTAAGGTCTATGAAGGATCTTCCACAGACAGAGCTAATTCTCTGCAGCTGTCCCTGGTGACAGCAGACGTTGACACTTCTAGACAGCAGTAGCTCCACCCATTGTCTAAGAAAGTTAGGCGTAGGAAAACCACATAAGACAAAAGTAGCCTCTATGTTGTCTTATGTTTTTAGTTAGATATAGATAAAAAAAAATTTAAAAAAAGTTAGACAGTAGGAAAGAGGAAGAGATGAGTATTGTGTGAAAGTGATGCTTTAAAGAAACACTATAGTTAATACAAACATGTATTTAGGACACTATAGTGCTACAATAAAGGTTTAGCTCCCCGGCACCCCTGTCCATAGAGATGAAAGGTTTCTGAATGTACCTTTTCTCTACTGCCACACCTGTCTCACTGCGACTGGTCCCGTCTCCATTGCTAAGATCGTCTTGATGATATCAGCCAATCAAATGTTTTCCCATAGGAAACATGGAGAGGCTATTGAGCATGCGCGGCAAAACACTGCATTGCACCAATTAGCATCTCTTTCATAGAGATGCATTGAATCATTCCCTATGGGGAACATTCAGTGCCTCCATGCAGAGCGTGGAGGCGCTGAAGAAAGGTGCTGCACATTGTGCAGCTATGGAGTAGGAAGCACCTCTAGTGGCCGTCCGAGTAACTGCCACTGGACGTGTTCTTAGGCAGCAATATAAAATACTGTAATTTCTCTGACTGGTTATAGACAGCAGAAACACTACATTAAAGGACCACTCTAGGCACCCAGACCACTTCAGCTTAATGAAGTGGTCTGGGTGCCTGATCCCTCTAGGATTAACCCTTTTTTTAATAAACATAGCAGTTTCAGAGAAACTGCTATGTTTATACTGAGGGTTAATCCAGCCTCCAGAGCCTCTAGTGGCTGTCTCATTGACAGCCGCTAGAGGCGCTTGCGTGCTTCTCACTGTGAAAAATCACAGTGAGAGCACGCAAGCGTCCATAGGAAAGCATTGTAAATGCTTTCCTATGCGACCGGCTGAATGCGCGTGCGCATTCAGCCGATGACGCCGCGAGCAAGGAGGAGAGGAGGAGTACAGCTCCCCGCCCGGCGCTGGAGAAAGGTAAGTGTTTAACCCCTTCCTCTCTCCAGAGCCCGGCGGGAGGGGGTCCCTGAGGGTGGGGGCACCCTCAGGGCACTATAGTGCCAGGAAAACGAGTATGTTTTCCTGGCACTATAGTGGTCCTTTAAGTTGCGTTGGTTCTGGGGAGTATAATGTCGCTTTAATTTCAGATTCCAGTTAAACTGAGACATTGTAGCATTCTTTTGCAAAACAAGTATGGTTGGTTATTCAAATAAGGAGAGAGCACATTTAAAACAAACATTCATAATAGGTCAAATCTTACCTTCATTTAGTGTGAGTAGCAAAATTGTTAATGTAAGACATGTGCAAAAAGAAAAAATGGGCATCTGCCACCTACAATAACAAAAAGAATACATTAGAATGCGCACACACAAAAACAGCAATAGCCACATGTTTGCAAAAATTCTTACAAAAATCAATCTTTTAGATGCAGTATAGCCATCATTCAGCTTATAAACAATAATGGCAGGTTTAATCCAACTGTTTAAATGTCACAGTAAGACATAAAGAGAGAACTGAATTATGATGTCAATCTTCACATATTTTAAATATACATTTAAAAGAAATCAGAACATCAAATGAGAAAAAGAAAAAAAAAAAAAAAGGATTCACACACAGTTATATACAATTTACAATGTTCTATTTAAGGGTGTAATTTCCAGAACGACAGTATTTTTTTAAATTTGTTAAACAAACTGCATTGTTCTTTTTTAAATTACACAACAATGTGTTCTCTAAATGTTCTTAGCTATGCAATCCTCACCAATAAATTCCTCTTTAGGTTATTTCAAAATGTAAGCAATATGTAAACATGTTTTCTAATATTGAATCTATTATGAAAGCTGCACAGGTTTATTTACCAAGCTACAAAATGTAGCAAATTACATACAAATTGCATAATTCAAGTTAGAATTCAGCCATCACACAGACAAGACTCAACCAGCACACACAATCACACTCCCTCCATACAGCTCTCATCTTCTCACACACACACACACACACACACACACACACACACACGCCATTATATAGCTCCATCAAATTCCGCAGCGCTTTACAATAGGTGGACGAATAGACATGTAGTTGTAACCAGACAAGTTGGACACACAGGAACAGAGGGGTTGAGGGCCCTGCTGAATGAGCTTACCTGCTAGAGGGAGTGGGGTAAAGTGAGACAAAAGGTAAGGATAGTATTAGACTAGTGACAGTTGCAGAAGAGGAATCAGTCAGGAGCTATTAACGGTTTAATTGATACGCTTTTATGATGAAGTGGGTTTTTAAATGATTTTTTTGAAGGAGTGGGGACTGGGTGAACATCTAACGGAGGAGGGAAGCGAGTTCGACAGGAAAGGTGCAGCCCTCGAGAAATCTTGAAGGCGAGCATCAGAGGTGGGAGTACGGACAGAAGATAGACGTAAGTCTTCAGCAGATCGTAAGGGCCTAGACGGGACATACTTGTGTATAAGGGAGGATAGATAGGTGGGAGCAGCATTATCTAGCGATTTGAAAGCAAGAACCAGAATTTTAAATTGAGCCCTATATTTTATAGGAAGCCAATGTAGGGACTGACAGAAGGGTGAGTAGATCATTGGATACTTCGGTCAGTGCCGTTTCCACAGAGTGCTTAGCAGGGAAACCAGACTAAAGCGGGTCTAACAGAGAGTTGGACTCGAGGAAGTCTGTCAATCTCGTATAGACATTTCTTTCAAGGATCTTGATCAAGGACCGTGAAAGCTGAATGAACCAATTGCTATGTAAAGTGGTGCACATGCTTGTTATATGTTATGGAAAAAAAAGTAGGTGTCTACTTAGTGGGCAAAAACAAACTACAAAATAAAAAATAAATAAAAAAATCTGACAACCCAAAGGCATGCAATGCTAAAGACACATTTGCTACAACAATTTATATATGAACAGCAACAATAGCAGGTATACGAGGTATTATCATCTCAATCTAGGAAAACGAAAGATGAAAAATTGTGAAAAAAAAGCAACAGGTGTAGCAGGTTTCAACAAAGAGTGTGTACTCGGGAGGAGGGGAGAGGGGATAAAGAATAATAAAATGAAAAGCAAACACCCTTAAGAAGAAAACATAAATACAAAGATGACGTTGATAACAGTCAACACTGGTTCTGCCATCTGTGATGTTATAAAGAATTCAGTATGGGTAATTGGTTCATAACAAATACCTACCACCTCCATACAATTCATTGCAAATAAAAAGCTTATGCACATTATTTTGAGAAACTTTTTTGACCAGCAGGTCTCTTTCCTTTATTAGAACATGCACTCAGAATTACACTAGAAAGTGCCTGTAGGCTATAAATAGGGGAGACTGGACTCTATGAAATTTTAGCTTTCAAGACTAGAGTTTGACATTTGTGTCACATGGAAATCCTAGGCAAAAATAATGTTCAGAATGTTTTGGTGAGGCTTCCACGAGGAATGATCTCCTCCCCAGTCCAAGTATTGTCTACGACACCCGGAGAAAGCAGAATCTAAATAACACATTACCTTAACAAGTATTTGATTCCATCCCAAGTATCCCTGACGGGCTCCAGATACATTTCTATTCTCTTGTACGAAACAACTAAATTGAAGAGATCAAATGACTGGGACTTAGTAGTGCTTTGTGGAGACTCCGCTTGTGACTCTGACATGGTTGGACTACCCTCTGACCAGCTTGATCCACCCATCGAAGTGGCATCCCTTTCTGTCGCCTGCATTCTAAGGGTGAGAAGAAAAACTACTTATTGAATATTACACAGCAAGAATGCAAAAAATGATGCAGAACTATTTGGAACATTCAAAAGGAAAAAGTTATTATTATTACTGAAAATAAAAGATTACATGTAAACCCTTTAAAAAAAAAAAAAAAAAAATTACACACCAAAGAGGTAGAACACAGAAACCTCTTGTTTTTTCCTTTTTTTTTTTTAAATACGAATTTAAAAATCATTATATTTTTCCTTTAACCCCTTGAGGACCAAACTTCTGGAATAAAAGGGAATCATGACATGTCACACATGTCATGTGTCCTTAAGGGGTTAAAGCTTAAGTTGTTTTTGTGACTATAGTGTCTCTTTAACGGCATTACATTTAACATGTTATCCAGCAAAGTAAAATAAGGACAAAGAGTGTAATAAAAAAAAAAAAAAAAAAATCATAAGTGACTAATCCAGGTGCATTTGGAGCTTGACTTGCTTAAACAGCGTCACATTCAGAGCGGACGTCAGCAGGGGAGGAGAGGTCACCAGCGCTGAGTGACCTGGCGCTGGATTAAGGTAAGTGGCTGAAGGGGTTGTAACCCCTTCAGCACAGTAGGAGAGGGGGGACCTAACAACCCTATAGTGCCAGGAAAACGAGTTTGTTTTTCTGGCACTATAGTGCTCCTTTAACTACTGCTATTGATAGAATCCCAGAGTATAGATAAACGGCTTTTAGCTGCCATATCCTCAAGTGTCACTGTACTCTCCTTTAATTCCTAAAAAACAAGTAGCACGCTAAAAGGTGTACGAACCAGCATTCATTATCATTTGTGGCCAGGAAGCACACATTCCACTCTCTGCCTTTTGCAACTGCTTTCTTAAAGTGAAATCACTCGTACCTAAACTTCTATACATTTCACTTGCCATTTCATCATCACAATCTATAGATTAAAATGTACACTTACTAGGAAGTGGCCTTGTGATGCATTGCACATCATAAAAGGGGACTAGAAGTTTGACACAGAAGACCATAAGTGTAGCAGTCTGGCTTCCAGTCACATAATGGGAATTATAACCCTAATACCACTACTTTATATAAAACACTTTCAGAAGTCTAGCATGTTATGCTATTATTAATGACGCTAATAACCCTCTGATACCGAGCAATCGCCTTAAAAAATAAATAAAATAAAATACATTTTTATAAAACTATATTTCAGAAAGTAACAAGTAATATTATGCTCTAGAAAAAGCTCAAAAGGTCACATTTCATAGAAAGTACGGAAGAAAACAGTTTGTGGTTTTTAAATGAGTGCTAGATCTATGTAGGAAGCCAAGAGCGCATATGACATTACAGTGTATTAGTCACAGTCATCACTCACAATCTAGTTCTTACGCATAATTATTTATCTGAATTAGAAGTGGGATGTGTAGAAATAATGTTTTGTGAAGAAAATAGAGTAATAAAAGGTTTAAAGGAACAGTCAAACTAAATTATTGAGTTGTATGACCATCTTCAGTTACATAGAAATTAAACAAACACAATAGAAGATGTCTCATACAACACAGGCTGGCAAGTGAACCGTGCAAAATCCCGCAATTGTTTGTATGTGGTTGCATGCTATGAATGTGGGATATCATTTTGTTAATTAGCTACATGTGCAGCATGCTTTGTGTGCGATATTGTCGTCTTTAGTTGTAGAAACAATACATTCTAGCAAAATCGAAGGTCAGAAATGTTTATTTTTTTTAAACTACAATGTAATCCTGATTTATTCTTTTTTTTAAATTGTATCTTACAAAGTGTACCATGAACTTTGTACCAATAAATCCTGTAAATCCTAAAACACTCTTCAAGCCTTATCTGTCCTGATGTCACTGATAATCACATAGACTGGGTCATGCACTATGTGAATGTGTCTGCGGAAATTGTCAGAATGCTCAGTACAGATTGTAACTCCAATAAATATAGGAGAGGCAGAAAATTCCAATGACACCCTCTGGCATGGAGACCCCAGTACCCAAACTGCAACAACTAGCCTCACGCTCGCTGAGCCTCACCACTCAAGTCTTGCACATAAGGGGGCCATACTGTACAGACATATGCAAGGCCACCGGCAGCAAATTGTAAAACACTGTGCCCTTATGGGAAACAACCAGATATGAATCATGAATCATACAGCACAGCCCCTGGAAGTGAAGGAGAATTACTTGTACAGCCAGATAACGAGGTCACTGATTAGGGCATAGCACCTGAGTGTCCATATTTATGGCCCAAATCTTTTTTTTTTTTTGGTGCATAATTCTGATTAGTAAGTCACATAACATTTCTCACAGTATCCACACCCTGACTCACACCCCTTAAATTAAGGTGTCCTTATTCACCCTCATGAAAGTGATATGTAAGGGGGCAGAGTCATGGTGCAGGGAATTACAAAAAACCTTTGTAGCAATAGGATGAACAAAAAAAACAATACCCTTAACATCAGCTGTGCAACCAAAAGTAGAACACACAAAAGAAACATTAAGCACCAGATACATTTATAAGTTGATAGCTGTGATTAGTATAGATGACTTGATCAAGAAAGCGCGGAGTGCCGCCAGGCAGGGCGCTACTGATTGGCTAGAATGCTCACTTGATGCTCTAAGCCAATCAGTAACTCCCCATTCATAAAAAAGGGTATAAAGCTTTTTTATGAATGGCTAGCTACTGATTGGCTTAGAGTGTCAGCTAACTGCTCTAGCCACTCATCAGCACTCAGCGGCCTGCTTCCTGATAATCAATTTCAGAAGCTGGATGCTGCTGGGGGGGATTTCAGATCCGGGCTGGAGACAACCACTGGGGTCAAACCATTTGAGAGCAGTTCTACCATGATACCATAACAACTTAATTTTTATTAAGTTGTTATGGTGCCCACAGTGTTCCTTTAATCAGGTTCAAGACATATCACCCCACAGGCAAATGGGAAGAAAGTTAGTGTCCCCAATGACATACCACAATTTAATAACGATTCCCAGCAGTAAAAGGAAAATGTGGTGACAGCGTAGCAAATATCAAAAGATACAAACATACTTTAGCTAATACGGAAAAGTGTAGCCTCTGGATTCAGTGAGTATCACAGGTATGTATACTATTTAATTATTACATATGAATACCATTTCACCTGTGCAATGTATAGACATAATTGTGATGTGCAAAATGTGTTGGGAAAAATAAATTAGAATACCAGGAAAAAATAAAAGATATTCAAGTAAGCAGTCTTTGTATCATACACCAGCATAAAGAATGACTCACAGAGAGCTAAACATGTTTACTAAAGTAAGACTTTCAGGAATTTAAACTGAAATAAAAGCAAATTTCAGGTTTTGGGCCAAAATGTCTAAATTAAAAATAAAAAAGTATTATATGCTGTGTTTTCAGTTTGTCTACTGGGAATAAAAAAAAAAAGTTTTAATTCATTAAAATATTTAAATGAAAACCTCCAAATTATGTCCTAAATTTTGAAGTTTGGTTCCACCACAATTCACAACGGGATTTATTAACTAAAATAAGTGGTGAAATGTGAATGGTAACATTTATACTAAAATGTGTCTTTAGCTGGAGAGATCTGTATTAAAAAAAAAAAAAATCCTGGAATGTTGCAATTCAGACTTCAGATCACTCTCCACAAGTCAGAGTATAACCAAGTGTCTAGTGAATACACCCTCTAATTAACCTTTTGTGAGCCCAAATGGGAGTTAAATTACAGATTCAGTTTCAGAATTAACTCACTAAAAGTCACCCCCTCCCCCTTCATGAAGAGGTCCTGCAGCAGCTGGTCAGGATGACCAATTATACTACCTGCCACACTGCCAAAAAAGCCAGACAATCTGACATCTCTGTATGATGTTTAGAAGGACATATTGCTGAAGCCATTCACCTTGCCCCTTGTTAAGCAGCTGTTGGCCAGCCAGCCAGCACAATGTGAGGACTTCAGGTGAGGTCTTGCAACAAATGGAACGTTTGTAGCATTTAGGAAGAATTCGAATCATAATAAGAATGTATCAATATGTCCCTGGAACCCACAGTCTCCTGTCTGGGTTTTTATTTTACAAGATCCTGGTCTCCTCACTGTGAACACATACAGATTAGACAGACAGAGAATTCATTGTATCCTGAGCTACACAACATGCAAATGAATGTCCCTTTAAATCAGACATTTAAACAACATGCATGAAGCCAGCAGCCCCCTTTCCTTCCCCGAGAGCCGTGCTGGTGTGATCATCACTCTTACCTCCCCTTTCACAAGCACATTATTGTGTCTCCGTTCCCTTTCTGTGCATTTCTCTCAGCATTTCCTGTTTGCAGTCATCGTGACATCACAGAGGAACCAGTGGCTTAAAACAAGGAATGGGTTGTACATGGCAGGCAGGAGGGCTGGGCTAGGGTGCCATGGGCTTAACTCATTCACTGCCAGGATCAAATGCTGGGCACACAGGCTCCAGCGTGGAAGGTAGTCAGAAGGCAAGCCCGCTGGCTGAGGGTGATGGGGGTTATAGTCCAATGCCAAGTGGGAGTCAGTGCCATGGTGCCAGCCCAGCTCCAGATCAGCACATTGTGAGATCCAGTCCGGGTGTCCCAGTATGGAGACAGGTTTATGGGTAAAGCAGACATGGAGTCAGCCTAATACCGAACAGGAGGAGGAAGTTAGTGGGATGTTAATGGTTCAGTCAGGTAGAGAAAGTGACAATATTCCTGTGTTCACCCTTACAATTATTAACGTCTGAAAAGTGCTACTCTGCAGCATGCTGAAACCATTTTCTACAGAAAATACATTGGTAAATGAATTGCAACACAAAGGCTGGTTTAACACTTTAGTTTTATTTTATTTTTTTAAATGAATGTCCAGGGGTATAGATGTGTTTCTGAAGAGTACAAATCATAACACTGAACACTAACTGACAGGAAAGTTGCCACAGAAAAGGAGCCAATAGGATTACTGGGCTCTGCATTAGGCTCTGCTGGGCACACCTGTGACACTCTTTGTACACACCTGTGATGCTACATTACTATAGGGCACACCTGTGATGCTACATTACTATAGGGCACACCTGTGATGCTACATTACTATAGGGCACACCTGTGCTGCTACATTACTATAGGGCACACCTGTGATGCCACATTACTATAGGGCACACCTGTGATGCCACATTACTATAGGGCACACCTGTGATGCCACATTACTATAGGGCACACCTGTGATGCCACATTACTATAGGGCACACCTGTGATGCCACATTACTATAGGGCACACCTGTGATGCTACATTACTATAGGGCACACCTGAAATGCCACATTACTATAGGGCACACCTGTAATGCCACATTACTATAGGGCACACCTGTGATGCCACATTACTATAGGGCACACCTGTGATGCTACATTACTGTAGGGCACACCTGTGATGCTACATTACTGTAGGGCACACCTGTGATGCTACATTACTGTAGGGCACACCTGTAATGCCACATTACTGTAGGGCACACCTGTGATGCTACATTACTGTAGGGCACACCTGTGATGCCACATTACTGTAGGGCACACCTGTGATGCCACATTACTATAGGGCACACCTGTGATGCCACATTACTATAGGGCACACCTGTGATGCCACATTACTTTAGGGCACACCTGTGATGCCACATTACTTTAGGGCACACCTGAAATGCCACATTACTTTAGGGCACACCTGTGCTTCCTGGTGACACAAGAACTGTATCCTGGGAAACAGGACAAAGTAATCCAGAAAACTGGAGGATTAGAAAACTTCAATGGTTTCTTCATTAAACGGCTAATTATTGTGAATCGAGAATTCAATACAAAGATTTAGGTTAAATTGTGGTAAATGTTTACCTGGTTGAGTTATTTATTAGTACAACATACTTTTTTTTTTTTTTTTTCGTGGTGCTCTTTCCCCAGCCTGCCTGAGATCATTAATCTTAATGATCTTAGCCAATCCAATGCTTTCTCGTAGGAACACATCTATGGCAAACCGCTGTGCCACACCAATCAAAAGGTCTCTCTATAAGACAGTCTGGTTGAAAGAGCAGAGTTTCACCTAGCTGTTTCAAATTAACCCCTTAAGGACACATGACAGAAATATTCCGTCATGATTCCCTTTTATTCCAGAAGTTGTGTCCTTAAGGGGCTAAGCAGAAGCGCCTCTATTGGCTGTCAATGTCCCCAGCTAATTTTGACCTGTGTTGGGCTTTGCCAGCTGCTCAGCACTGATCGGATATCCCAGCACTGATCAGCAAAACAGAGCTCCATTTACACAGTGAGTGTAATGATAAAAACAGCCAGTACATAGTGGTCACAGACCACTATCTAATAGGACACCCATTTTGCAATATAAGAATTGATGTTAGCAAAGGGTTTCCTTAGGACTGAGATTAGTGGTGGGATAAGGGTTATGGTAGGGTTAGATTTAGGGGTAAGAGTAAGGTATAGTTAGAGCTAGTGTTGGGGTATGGGAAAGAGAAAAAGGTTAAGCTATTTTAGGGTTCGGGATAGCGTAGGGCTTAAGGGTAAGATTAGAGTTGGTGTAAGCATTCGGTAAGAGGTATGGTTGATATATTGTTAGTGTGAGGGTTGGTATAGGGTTAGCCTTAACTACCAAACATTACTTTAGATCCTAGAATAATTAGACATTTAACAATCAGGACTAATATACGGATCTATATTGAGTTTTCTTTAGTTTCACTGGATGTAAAAATTATAATAAGCAAAGATGTAAAAATATTCCCCCTCCCCATTTGTAACATTTTATTACATGTAATGTTTTGTTACATATAAATGTAGGATATTAAATGAAAGTCCCCCTTTTTTTTTTTTTCTTCCAATGCTTTCTTTTCCTTTTTTTTCCCCTTTTTTCTGTATTACCTATTCTGTAACTTTCCGATCCGACAGCAGGTCAGGCTCTGCACTCTATGTGTGAGCATCTATTTGTGTACAGTCACTCTGTTGTTAGAACGGCACAACTCTAAGTGGCGATTTGGTCGGCACAAACAAACAAAAGTACACGAATTCGGCATTCGGACAAATTCGGGTTTCAAGTACTCCAAGGTGATGCCAGCCAATAGTTTTAGTGCCCTGACTTTATAAAACCAGGGATTCCTGTAGAAAGTTCCTGTTGTGGTTCTTGATTATGCTTTATTGTGTTTTGGATTTCTTGATACCGACTTTGGTTTGTTTAATCATCTCTCTACTCTCTGTGCTCCCGACCTTGGCTTGTTTATACTTTATCCTGTTATCTCCTACTCTTGACTTCCGCTTTCTCTCTGATTCTATCTTGAGATATTCTAGAGAGCATGATAATATTATCAAAATGCTTACGCTATATCCTCTGTAATGTGTGCGGTTTTATTGTAAGCTTTATTTTAATTTTTGGAATGTATGTTAACGCATATTGCCGTTTAGAAGCTGCCCTAGCTTCCTTGTGATGTAGTATAGTAGGGTTCTATTTCCACTGACATTTGCGAGGGAGGGGATATGTATTTTGAGAAAGACGAGTGATTGGTCTGACCAAGTTATGTTGCCTATGGATTGGTCCTTGACTAGAGAGAGATCTCTGTGAGACCTGTCTCTGGTGTATGTGGAGATGGGTTTTGAGAATAATGTGTAATCTTTTGTATTCCGTTGGAGTATCCTCCCACAGTCTACCAGTTGATATATACAATCTATAGAAATAAAATGAACAAAAAATAGTGTGATACCGTATATAACACCAGATAAAACAGGAGAATATATTGCACTCACAAAAGTACAATTGATTGCAGGGACGAAAAATGTCTTTAAATACAGAGCCTTCTTTTCTTCTCTTTCCCCACGTTTCATATATGAAAGGAAAGGAGGGAGACATACCCAGAGTGCAACACTACTAACAAGTTTAACGATAGTGATGCACCGAACGGTTCGCTGGCAAACAGTTCCTGGCGAACATAGCGTGTTCACGTCCGCCGCGGACGGCGAACGCATGCGCGGTTCGATCCGCCCCCTATTCATCATCATTGAGTAAACTTTGACCCTGTACCTCACAGTCAGCAGACACATTCCAGCCAATTAGCAGCACTCCCTCCCTAGCAGACCCTCCCACCTACTGGAAGGCATCCATTTTACATTCATTCTCAAGCTGCATGCTTAGTGAGAGGAGGGAAAGTGTAGCTGCTGTTGATTAGATAGGAAAATGCATAGCTAGGTTAGGGTTAGGGTATGCTTTTTTTTTTTTCTGTGTAATGTAATTGCAGTTAGTTGTCTGCCACTGCTGCCAGCTTCTGTGTCAGGCTCACAGTGGATACTGTGCCCATTTGCCCAGTCAGTGCCACCACTCATATCTGGTGTCACAATAGCTTGCATTTAAAAACAAAAAACTTTTTTCACTGTTATAGATTGAATAGCAGTTAGTTGTCTGCCACTGCTGCTAGCTTCTGTGTCAGGCTCCCAGTGGATACTGTGCCCATTTGCCCAGTCAGTGCCACCACTCACTCACTGGTGTCACAATAGCTTGCATTTAAAAACAAAAAACTTTTTTCACTGTTATTGATTGAATAGCAGTCAGTGTCCTTAAAGCGGGTGTGTTACGCTAACAGTGGATACCGTGCCCAGTGCCACCACTCACTGGTGTCATAATAGCTTGCATTTAAAAACAAAAAACTTTTTTCACTGTTATAGATTGAATAGCAGTCAGTTGTCTCAAAGCGGGTGTGTCAGCCCTACAGCCTGTACTCTGCCAGTTTACAGTGCCACTCATATCTGGTGTCATAATAGCTTGCATTTAAAAACAAAAAACTTTTTTCACTGTTATAGATTGAATAGCAGTCAGTGTCCTTAAAGCGGGTGTCAGGCCTCCTTCAGCGTGTGCTCTGCAGACCTCTGCCCATGTACTTTGCCACTCATATCTGGTGTCTCTGTAGCATGCTTTTACAAAGAAAAAAAGGTTTCCAGTGTAAGCTAATAGCAGCCAGTCAGTGTCCTTCAAGCGGCTGTGTCAGGCCTACAGCCTGTGCTCTGCACAACTGTGCCAGTGCACATTGCCACTCATATCTGGTCTCACAGTAGCTTGCACGCATAGTACCACTAATCCCAACAAAAATGACAGGCAGAGGCAGGCCACCCAGCAGGGGCCATCGTGGTCGTGGTGCTGTGATTCCCTTTGGCCCTAGAATAATGCCCAGTTTTCAGAGGCCACGTACCCTGAACTTGAAAAGTTCTGAGGACATAGTTGACTGGCTAACACAGGACACCCAATCTTCTACAGCCTCCGCTCAGAACCTTGACGCACCATCCTCCTCCAGCTTAGCTTCAGGCACCTCTCAAGATACCACTCACCCGCCTGCCGCCACCACCAAAACTAGCACCACAGCCGCTTC